GAGATAATTATTATCTGCAAAAGAACAAATAAACAAACACAGTTTCTTTCAAACTAAAATTAGTAACAAAAACATTAATGAATTCGTTAAATTAACATGAGCGCAAAATACGTAGTTCGTCGCTGAAAAAAAATATATACTACGTCGTATAAAAACATTTAGTTTACATTTATGTTCTGGAATATTTATCGTACTTCAAAACTGAATCACTCCAAAATTAGTTTTTACAACGATTGAAGCAGCAATAAAAATGATCATAATCTTGAGCGAAACTTACAGATTTTACTTCTATCGTCCAATTCTTAATTATAACATGAAGATAATTGTTGCTGGTACATCACATATAAGAGGATTAACATGAGATTTACTAAATTGTAAAGGTAATGTGGTAATTACACAAACTTGATTAACACTAGTATTACACACCACTATTATGCAAGGTAAATTTCCATCCGACAACATTTATTGCAAATATTTATAGAAATAAATGCATACAATTGTGATAAATACTAATAATGAAGTACAGCAAAGGTCGATCCGTCAAGAAATATTAATTTCAAATCGATTGGTTATTTCTACCTTTTGAAAAACTGCAATTGTAAATACACAATAATTAAAAATAAATAAAAACTAATAGGTTTAAAACACACAATAATAATGAAGATGACGTAAAACTGACGTTTACTGTGTGAACGTTCATTTTCCTGGTCGACTCTCTCGGTCATTATCGTTACAGGTGCGACAATTATTGCAAAATGTGCATCGAAACTGTAAGCATACACATGCAAATTGGTTTTATACTGTTGTGGGATAGCAGTGATTGCGAATATCATCATACTGTTGAATAGTTTAAAATTACATTTATAATAGATCGCGCATTGACAGCTGCCAACCTGTGTCAAAGCGTCAGAAATAAACAATTGGGACAAATTATAATTACAAACACATATGATACGTGACCTCAGCGAAAAGGTTGAGAAACGGCGGTATAGCACCAAAATTCTTTCACGTGCAACTTCTACCGCATCGATACTAAATAATAATTTAGATATTTTTAGGACCGGAGGAAATAATCAAAATATAATTTGTGTACAAAAGTTCAAAAACCACACATTAATTTGCATGACAAATACTTCTAAATATTGAAAATTAATTGCAATCATTGCGGGATGACTATTTTGCAGCCGCTAATTACGTTGTTATAAATATATTAATTACACGACCAATAAATAAATTTAATCTAAAAGTTTTTTTTATAAATGGAAATAATGAAAGTGACGCGCACCAGTCAATTGCGTGAACATTAATATTTCATTTTCGATGATCGATTCGCAATGGTTACAGACGCCACAATAAGTACAAAATACTACAGTTAACATGTTTTATAGGGTAGCATTGATTATTATTATTGTGAACGCCGTCATATATTTGCATATACGATTATAAACTAAACGTCACGTTTTCTGGCACGACCGACAAACACATTGCATTTTATCAAGTACGAACGGGATAATCTAAATATACTATATGAACTACAAGAAGGATTAAACAAGCATCAGAAGAAGAAAACAGGAACTGTGTGTGTATTTTTGTTGTTGTTGTTGTATAACAACAACAAAACGGTGAAGGGATTGCACCGACAATAACAAATAATAATATTGTGTTATTAAATTATGCACAAGTCCGCGATGATCGGAACGGATTACGTAAATCAACGAACGTTGCGCCTTATTTCAAGGCCCACCTTGCATGCTGCGCGAATGTGCAATAATGAAATTACAACGAAACAAAAAGTATGGAAAAATAAATAAAACTGAAAGTTATTTCCAATGCGAAAATAAATAGAACGACGCGTACGTTCGTTTCCATTACTTAACGCGTGCATGTTAATGACGAGTGCAATAACAAAGATGTATCCTGCATCCCTTTAACTGATGTCGACGGGTTGAACATATCTTATTAAGTCGTAAAGTGTATTATATGAAAGTAACGGTGAGCGCATGTTAATTGACGTTACGTATTAGTCGACTTCCTATTTGAATAATGCGCGGTGTTTCTTTTCAGTGGGATCACGTATGTGTGTGTGTATTCCGCATAGGCTGGGCCTCGTTGCCAATTGGATTTGAATACGGAGGAAAAAAACGTCATTGAACATCGCAATCCTTCGTATGCAACTTTTCCATTAAGAAAACGGAATAAAAACGCATTATTAACATTGTCTAAAGAACTTAAGTTAATGAGTACCTTCAGATTTTAGTGTTATTTCAGAAAGTGTATTAGATAGAATGGATATGAAAGTTGGATATTTGGGAAATGCAGCATGATTCAATTATTGCTGTATTTTCGTCCAGTTGGCTGTAATTCGCGTATAAAAAATGAAATATCGAAAAAAAATAACGCTCGTTTTCATAATTTTAGTGATTTTCTCCGAATCTATAATAGATAGAATGGATCCAAAAGATGTATACGAAACTTGGATATTTGGGGAATGCAAAGAATATTCCACTTTGTTGAGGTTTCATTTAATTGGCTATAACTCGCATTCAAATATGAAGTATCTTAATTGCTAGTCAATACTTTTTTATTAAGTTGATCGTACCTCTCTAGTTACCAATACAAAAGCTCTGGCGACATAATTGATCGCGATTGAAGGTCGTCTCTATTATAAGGGTGCCTTAACGATGAGAAGACCTACGGCTTAGACGATAACTTCACAAATGCAGCAAGATATTAGTTTTGTTCCATTGCATTATTACGTAAAATGTTTCTAATGTCATCTGCATTAGAACGCATAGAAATATATGTATATATTATTCCCAATTCAATAAAGGCAATTACACTAATTGTATTATTAAGATCAAAAGGACAGGACAATAGTATACATAAACCTTCATTAAACGCAAATTTATATTGTTATATTACAATTATAAATATGTACTAAATTATTTGCTGTTATTACAATTAACATTCAATTAGATACAATTGTATCTGCGAATTTCGGTCACATATAATTGAAGTTAATTATAAAACAAATATAATGAATAGACTTTTATCCAATTGAGTTACATAAATTTAATAACGCCATCGAAAAGAAAAACGTCCGGAAAATAAGCATCCACGGAGATTGGATTATTAGGAGTTGATGCACTTTGACTACAAGGTTACCTGTATCAGGAAATACCAATAAAAAAGGCAACGAGGAAACAACATGAAATCAAATTTATAAATGTATATGACGATTTATACATATATTCATTGAAAATAAAGCAGATGTAAAGTCTATGTAATTGTGGAAAGAAACAGTGAGTCGAATATAGAAATTACTCGAAAATCTTAAGAAACATCATCATATAAGAGAGAATGACATCAGAAAGCAAATACGAGAGAATACCACAATATTTAGTTTAGCTAATAATCAAATCAATCTTTGCGATTAAATGATTGTACGTAATTATTTTATAATAATATAAATTTCCAATAGTTATCAAGAATAAATTATATTTGCATTTATTTATATTCAATAAAATATCGTCATTGTTCGTAACATGGAAATTGTTACATGAAATATATAATTAATTTTGTTCGCACACAATTATTTCACAGTTGATTAATTTTCCAGAGCATTACAATTTAATGAAATACACATAGTCAAATTGAAACATAATATTTCACTGAATTTAATTTCTTCTACGAAATTTGAATCTCTCAAAGAAACGCTTTCAATAATAAGCGCGCATACTTTGAATATTAAAACCCGAAAGATGTAGGACAGGATTCTTTATTTTTTTTATGTATGTTCCTTCCGAGTTTCTCCTCGCATTTAGAGCACAAATTAGAGTAATGCGCTCCCTTGGCTCTCGTACCTTTCGAGAAATAATTAATTACGTAGGTAATCTACATCGAGTTTCAGGAATTCCTAAAACATGACTTTATAAATGCTATTTTAAACGAAAAACAATCTATTTTTATACACTAACCTCATTTAATAGAAATCCGTGATTTTGCAGAGTTTTGTTGATGAATAAAGTTCGTATTGAACTTGACCAAAAAAAAACAAAAATAAGTTTAGAATAAATCTGAAAAATAAGGTCAACGACTGAAACAACATCAAAATAATGAAAGTTCTAATGATTTTCAGTAGGATAAGTGATTATGCATAGGAACGCAGCATAGCAACTGATGCTGTTATATTGTTATTAGAACAGTCGACTTGGATTGGAAATAAGCGTCCTGAAAGTAGCAAGTAACAATCGAATTGCACTGTGTGTTTTTTTGTTTCCTTTTTACCTATATAGATTGTAACAATGGAAATAAATAATAACTAAACTGGAATACTTATTTCTATGGAAATGACAACGTCGACGAAAACAAAATTGGATTGTTCCTTGGAGCACAATACACGTCATGTAAAATGTACATTGTGCTTCCGACACACGCATTTTCTTTCCTTCGTAAATAAATATTAACGTTGATTAACGTAATCTCCAAAACTTGGGATTATAATTCATATATTATCGTCGAGAATTATATCAGGAAGAGTAGATAGAGTAGTAGCTCAGGGAACGGATTGCGCAGCAATTTTAGCAAATTATTCTCGTGCAGAGGTCAGAAGGAAAATAATCGCGCTCTCGTCTCCCCATGTCACCGTGATCAGCTGATTTCTTTGTTTAGCTCCATGAAAACCAGACGGTCGATGACATGGGAAAAATGGAGAAAAAAGAAACACACACACAGAGAGAGGTAGCTCTGAGCTTCAAACAAGACTGCAGCTATAAAAAAGAAAACCAGAAGCAACAACCGTGCATCTAAAAATAGCCCTTCATAAAAATAATCTCCGAAAATGACGGATACGGACTGTTTTTGTTGGTTGGCTATGAACAACGACGAACAACTGATATCACCGTAACAACAATAACACATCCACCTTGAGTGTTTATTTTTGTTGTTGTTGTCCTGTCTGGAGGGTTTCGTGTTCGGGTTCTCATTAATTTGAAACTTACCTTTGTAATGCACACGAAGATTGTTCTGGGACAGTCCGATGTAGTTGTACTTCTCCTTCGGGCTCCATGCCCGTGGCAACGGAGTCTTTTCCTCATTTACGGCCGGATACAATTTCTTGAAGAGATCCTCTACATCGTTCTCCAAAACTATATTCAGATCCATTACACCACGACCACTACTAACAGCGGCCATTTCTAAACTCCCTTTCCTTTCCCTTCCTAAACTCGTTGCACACACTCGCACCTCAATAAACTGCACTCCTAACGCGCAACCTCTTCCACTCTGATCCGCTGTACGTTGCTTTCAAAAACAGCTGATAGATGTCGACCACCACCACTGTTTCTATGGTGATCAGATTTGTTTACCATCAGGTTGACCACCAGTATAATTCCTAGTAATAATCTGTGGCGTCCTCTAACGGATACCTTCAAAAGTACATATCACATAGGAAAATGAAAACTACGCTTACAGAATTATATTGTCATTACCATTCAGATATTTACATTTTCATATGGGTACACTTAACATAATAGCTTTTCTCAATCATTATACACTCATATATCACTTTATAACATTTATAAATTAAATTACAACTATAGTCTTTTGTAGTCAATGCACCATTGTCAAGGCCTTGGCTTCTTTGGCAATGACCCAAATGCGGAAATAACGGTGGCCTTTGTCCCGGTAGCGCTATTTGTCAAAGAGGGCTGCACCAAACCAGCAGGTTTTATGCTACCTATAGAGTTACCACCAGGCTGATCCCATTTGCTTTTCCTCTTCTTGGAGTCATCCTCCTGCTTCTTCGTACCAGATACAAACTCCACTTTCGATTTACGTTCCTTCTCCCGCTTGTCCATCTCGGCCTTCTGAACTTTAGCCAACTCCTCGTAGTAAGACTCTTTGCTCCATTTCAGAGGATCGTACATCTCCGGCGGATAGTTTGTACCCAATTCGTTGATGCCGCAGAAACTAATAAGCTTTTCGTAAATACTAGGATTACGAAAATCTTTTCTCTGCTGTATCACAGCATTCATGTCGAGAGAACTATTCAACATTTTACTGTAAAGCTTCGTGATTTTATCTTGAATTTCCGCTGAACAACTACCTGCTGGCTCCTGTGGCAACTGAATACCATCTTCATCAATTGGCTCAGGCTCTTTAACATCATTTGATTCCTCTGTAATAATAACAGTTGTTGTCTCCGTCGAGTCATCCATATTATCCTCATCAGAAACAATTGTGTCATCATGATATGATACTAATTTGGCTACCTTTGATGTGATCTTTGATTGCACTGGAGTTGAAGGTCTCGAGCTTGGGGTGGATTTATCTGGGGACGTGTTAGGAGTATGTACTGTCACTGACCCAGTATTCTCTTCATTGTTCATATCATCTTCTTCTCCCTCCGAGTCTGTGTAAGTAGCTGTTAATGATGCCAAAGCCATACTGTGGGACATTTCTTACTTATCAGATGAACTAAAAACAATAATATACAAAGTTAAAATTAGAACTTAAACGTACAATTAACATAATACACTTACAAAAATGTTCTCCTTCTTCTAAACTAAACTTTAACTTATAAACAATTTCATTAACTTTGAAAATTCTAACCTAAGTTAACTGATGTTGATGTTGATACCAGTAGATACCAACCAACATACTGCAACATACAATATATTTTTTTACAAGTCGACCAATATTACAAAAAAAAAATAGTCCTCACTCTCACAAATAATTTATTTATTAGCATAGTTTCATACATTCTTTAATTAATAATAAATTTATATAACGTTTCTTTTATTTAATATATATTATTTCTAATTTTATTTGTAAATTTTATAAACTGAAAATTTCAATTCAACAGTTGGCGACCTTTAACAACACACGAGGTGCATGCATTCAAAATAACTACTTTAGTTTTAAGTTTACAGTTTGGAATAGTGGATAAATTTACAAGCTTACAAGTCCACTTGATATTTAAATTTGTTTTCTATTTTTTAAAGTTTTAAGGTAAGTACAACACATATTCTTATATTGTATATTGTGTACAAAATATTTGTAATTCTAACCTACACGTGATTTTCATAGGGCAAAACAAAGTGGAAAAATGATGAAGAAAATGATTAATTTGGAACTCGAGGGCAACGAAAATGAAGTGGAGGATGAAACTGATTGTGATGTGTGCTCGGCTGATGAAATTCAATCAATATTTGCTGAACCATATGAAAATATAGTTGGGAAGAAAATTGTGGAAAATGATTACATATTGCATTTGGATGCAACTTTGTAAGTATTATTATTATAATACATTTAAGAGTTATACTTAAATGATTAAATTGTTTTTTAATTTGCAGAGAAACAAGTTATAATATTGCTATTGGTACATCAGGCTCTGATGTGCATGTGTGTAATCTGAGTGAAAATGGATTACAAAGAATTGAAACATTTTCAGACAATGCACCTTGTGTAGGTGTTAAATTTGATACAACAAATAGTAACATTCTATTTTCTGGACACAATGATAGCACAATTAAAATGTGGGACCTGAGGACGCCTAGTAAAACAGTTCAAATTTTTAATGGTAAATAAACACGCTTTTACTTTCGTCGTTGAAATATTAACGTTATAAATTTATAGATAAAACGAATAAAAAACACCCGAAGAAGAAAGTGTTTTCGTGCTTCGACTTGTCAACGAACAGCATATTGTTGGCGGCGGGAACGGAACTCCATGATTCCGATGCATACATTTTGTTTTGGGACGCAAGAAACTCCAACATCCTAGGCGGCTACTGGGAGTACCACACGGATGTCATTACCCAAGCCAAATTCCATCCAAACGATCCCAATAAATTGGCTACAGGTTCCACCGATGGTTTGATAAACATTTACGATTTATCGCAGACGACCGAGGATGAAGCCATTGAGAACACTTTGAATACGAATTCTTCGGTTGAGCAAATCAGATGGTATCCCCACAAAAAAACATCTGAAAAACTTGCTGTCACCACGCACACTTACGACGCTCAGTTGTGGGACGTGGAAATGACTGAAATTTACGCCGAATTTGATAGAGAGAATCTCGCTGAAAACTTAAAAGTAATTTTCGTTAATCTGACTATATTTTAAAGCGTACTTTATTAAATATAATTAATTTGTTGTTCTTTCAGCGTAAGATTCCAGATTACATTTACACGGCGGCGAATTACGTGAATAAATCCGGTGAATTGGTTTTACTGATTGGATCAAATAATCAAGGAGGCAGATGTCTCAGAGGCCTAAAAGTGGACAACAACAAACTGAAACCCTGCTACAATTTCCAGGAAAACAGTCAGAGAATCCGCAGCTGTTGTTACAATTCGACGGTCAACAATTTGCTGACCGCTGGCGAAGAAGGTGTACTTAACGTGTGGAAATTTTTATAATTTACTGTACTTTTGAATAAAAGTAATTAAAAATTTAGTTATGGTTATTGTTTTTGACATGTTTGTCATATTTGACATTTTGAATGTCGATTGCGAAGGGCTTTCAACTTTAAAATGAGTTCAAAGCAAAATTTTTGATAAACTTTGAACGTCGATTGTGTAAGATCTAGAAAGCTGGAAAAGAGCGAGTTGATCTTTCATCTTGGAAATGAGTCAAGGTTTTGTTTTTGACATGCCTGTCATTTTTGACATTAGGCCCTTCAAACTTTGACCGTCGATCGCGAAGGTTCCCGAAGGACTAGAAAGCTGTAAATGGGCGCATCGAAAAGCTAGGACTTTGAAATGGAATTAAATTAATTAATAATAAAAAAAATATGATAGATTTGTTTATTGAGAGATATTGATTTGAAGATTTTTCCATGACAAATGCATAATATATATTTTTTGAAGCAATTTGTACAGATATTAATCATATTGCTTACATATTTTATAAATGTGGATAGAGAATGCGCATTACCAGGGTTATTAACATGTGCACTTGTTGATTCTTTTTTTGAGACGAGTTTAAAATTTATTTACAAAAGAAGTTTGACAATTAAGTCTGAAAATATATCCCTCTGACGCCTCTCATCATTAAATCCTACAGTTAACTGTAGTTTTTAGTTAAGGATTCAGTTTCAATTTTTCGCGAAGCAAAAAAAAACTAGAAAGTAATTCATATCATGTGTATTATTAACATTGACAATAATTCAATAGCATTTGTATTCATTTTTTTTATTGAAATTTTCCCACTTTAGTAATAGTGTGTAAATATAATATTAGCCAAAAGCGCTCACAAACTAAAGACAAAAAAAGGAGAAAATTATATGTATATTCATAAAATATATCGGTAACAAAAAAAAACTTTACATAAATAAATCTATCTATCTAATATAGTATTTATAAATTGTCTCATTTTGTTTCTATCGTTCCTACCTAACTTTCTTTAGTCGATATTATTGCAAATAAAAAAAAAAATACCTCTCTGAATTTCTTAAAAAATATTTTACCTTAAACATACGTGTTTGTACGTATTACATAAATATAACTATATGTATATATAACGTCCATTCCATAAATGTTGTTACTTTCTTTTTTTTTTCAAAATATCATTACATTTATCCATATTTATATATATATAAATATATATATATATATAATAAAAAAATAAAATCCTACTCTAATCGTAAAACAAAAATAAAAATTGTTAAAAGAACAAAATAAAATGAAATTAATATAATAAAAAAATAAGGAGATCTCGATATACACAAAGTAATTGATTAATATTATTTAAATAATTACAGTGTCCAGTGTTTAAAAATCTTCCGCAATGAGAAATTGCATCCCAAAAGTATCGGCATAAAAAAAGAAAAACACATTTTTTTCCCCCATATGTAGATATGACACAGTAAACTTATTTAAAAAAAACCGCAAAATGTGATATAATAATATAGGTGTCTAAAACAAAACAAAAAATATCACGCAAATTAGACATGTATACTTGTTAATTATGAAGTTGTTTCTTTTCTCTTTCTTTTCCGGTATAGTGAGTTAGAAGAAGCATGTGTGTGCAGCATTATGTGGTGTTTAGTCGATTTGGTTTTCTTTTGCGTTTCTTACTTCGACGATAGAAACATAATTAACCTGAAACAGAACAAGAAAACGGAACATATGTATCGATTAGCGCATTTTGTATGAGTAAAAGACAAAAATATGATGTTTCATGTAATGCAGGGGTTCAAAAAAAAAATTGAAAATAATCAAGTTGCTGTTTATATACGAAATCTAGCAACATAAGATTGTATTTTGTATATAATAATATTGAGTTGGCAAGGAAATAATTTCGGTTTTTGGTAATTTGAAAGATGTGACTTTTAGCTTTCTTTAGAAGCCAATTGCTTTCGTAATTTTGTTTGCAGCTGTTAGTTAGATAATCAAATCAAAGTCATAATTGAATCAGATCGTCATGTAACTGTGCAAGAGATTGCAGATATGTTAAATGTATCACACACAACAACTGAAAATCACTTAAATATCTTGGACTCGTCAAGAATCTCGATATTCGCAGGCATTGAAAAAGATTCACTTAACAACAACAACCAATCAATATTTGCAATATCCATCTCAAACGCAACTCAAACGTAATGAAAAATGGATTATTTACAATAACATCAATCGAAAACGATCTTGATCCACGCGTGATGGACAAGCACAAATCATGCTATCAATTTGGTGGGACTACAAGGATGTTCTGTATTTTGAGCTTCATCCAGAATTAAAGATTTCAATGAAATGTTGCAAACAATTATTATACATATTAAAACTATTTGGGAACCCCGTATACTAAACAAACGAATGGAATTAGTGAAATTTTGCTTTTGCTGAAAATTTCTATTAAGATTTGCATAACTTAAAATTGAATTAATTATTTCTTTCAGATTTGTTAGTGAATGGTGTTACCTGAAATTTATTGTTTTAGCTGCCAGCAACCTATTACATTCGGCTGTATCAGGTAATGAGAGTGGCATGTAGGGACCCTCGTTTTCCAGCTCGGAAAAATCGTGCTTGTAGATCCTCGGTTGGACCTTCATGTCGCCGAACGGTCCTTTCAGCATAATATAATATATGCTCAACGTGGTGGTAGCTTTTGTTTTCAATATCAACTGCAACAGAAGAGAAGACTACTGTAGATCTACACCATTATTAATGCACGTCTTGTGTTGCCATTACTTGGTAGGTCATGTCGCGTTCGGAACTCTGAGTGGGATCCTTCTGGCTGTTGTTGATCCTAGCCTTGACCACCCATTGATTGTTGAACGCGGAGAACCGCGAAGTTTCATAGAACAGTCGATGGACGAACTCGTCGGTTCGGTACGGCTTCAACTGCAGATCTACAAATACGGGAAAAAATTCAATTTAACATCCATTATTTATTACTTTATATCAGTGGTAATTAAAATATTTCTTGAAAAAAATGTATATTTGCAACAGTGTAAGAATAGTTAAGAATCGCTGCTTTAGATGATTTAGTTTTTACCATTGAATGTGATCTTCTCGAAGGCCAGCAAATCGAAGATACTGTCATAGAGGACTCGCTCGTCTGCGAGCTTCTGATCCATCACCTGAAGAGCATCCATGACCTCCGCCCCGGTGCGATTCGGGTGCGTACATTCAGTTTCATGCTGTCTACTCTCGTGCAACGGACCTCGCCAAGGGCATCCGATCCGGCTGAACTTGCAGCCAGATATCCTATTAGCAAACAAAAACGACTTTATTTACATTATCCAAATATGTAAATTCCAATAAATAATACCTCTCTTCGCATTGGGTCTCCTCGTGTCTCTCCAAAGAGTTTCTCGGAAACTGCTTATTGCAGTACTGGCATTCGGATGGCAATTCGGAGACGGCATTCTCCACCGCCAGATTCCTCGTGGCCGAGGTTTTGCTGATTTCCACCCGGCAATTGGGGCACGTCGCCGTCTCGTCCCTCAACCGTGCATCGGCGAGCAGATGAGTAAAACATCCAGCACACATCAGATGCCCATTCAGACACTGAAAGGATACGCACAAAACGAGATATTATTCAACTGAACACTGCAATTTCGGCAAATTGTACATTAATAAATAGACAATATGCATAATAAATACAATTTAAAAAAAAAGAGAGAGAGACATTTTTCATATACATAATATTTGTAGGCACCTGAAATACAAACATATTAAAAGTTAGATCATATAATCATTATAATGTGTATGAGATTTTTGGGGGATTTTGCTTTTAAAGGGAAACGATTATACATAAATATAAAGATTCGTATAGTTTGGCGACACTTAAAGACTACTTGTAGTGTTTAGTACTCACCAAAGTTGCAAAAACCCTGGAACTGATATAAATTCATATAAATTATTTTGAATTACAAACAAAAAGAGTAAGAGAGAAAGAAAGATAGATAGAGAGAAATTAGGATTGTTTATAAAGAAATTTGCTAAAGAGGAAAACATTGTTTTGTCGAGGTCGGATTCTTACCTTACCTTACAACTAAATTGATAACTTAAAATATAGACGTCCTCAATTGATAATAGAACGTAAATGAGAAAATTTACTAAACAAAAAACCAACAAAACAAAGTGTACATGAAACAAAAGTAATCAAAAAAAAAACAATAGCAGGTGTGTGTAGTAAATATACGTTCTGTGTCTAGACCTTACCTCGTGTGTTTATACTAAATCATAAACAATCGATAAGATTTTGCTGTGTGTGGTTTATGATATTTTTTTCAATCTTATTATTATTGAAATCGGGATATAGAGGATTTTTCCTTAAAGCTAGTTCAAATAATTAAAAAATACAAATTCAATACATTTATTCAAAAACAAAGTTCGAAGTTTCAAATATATGCGTATGTTATATATTCCATTATTATAATTAATTAATTAAAAAAAAAGAGTAGAAATAATAATAATAAATTAAGAAACACACTATAACATTGTTACAATTAAGTGTGGGAAAAAGGAAAAATTTACAAAATCGTGTGTGAGCGATTCCTTCCCTCATTCTTGGGATTTTTTTCATTAATATAATAACGTTGAAGTCTTGACCAACAAAAAAAAAATGAAAAACATTCAGTACATAGCAAGAAAATAAAAACAACAGCATTCGAAATATGCAGAGCGTTTAAGAGAAAAGTTGATGAAAACATAAAATACAATTTCATAAATCATAGTGAAATTAATCTATGTTCTCTATTATTATTTTTTAAATACATGGTTGTTAAATAATAATAGTGATTATGATGATGAAAAAAAGGTAATTAAATGAGTGATGAGTGAAACAGAAAAATTATCAACAAAAACTTTGGGGTCGACGTCTGAGATATATATTATTATTGTTGTTGTTATTATACGCTGCAGATATCTTCCCAAAACAATAATAATACGACGATGACAAAATAAAGCGAAAAACTGCGCAATTTCCTTTGTGTGTTTTGCACTAGAAATTAATCCTTGCAGAACAATGAGTTAGCGTTGAATTAGTGGAGGGGGCAGAATCAACAAACAATAACAAATATTTAAATATATGTTTCATTGATCAATGGAAATAAATGAGCGAATTATTAAAAAAAAAAAACGATACAGATGGAGCTGAATTCCGTTCAAATTTGCTAACTATCTATTGATGCTTAAAGTACTTAGAGTTATTACTGTAGAAAATCATCTCAAATAGGCGAAAGCTGTTTAACTTTAAAAAACATGAATATGAGATGACGTAAATTGCAAATAGTGGAATATTATTTATTAAACGAATCAACGACATCAACAATCTTCGTGATAGCTAATAATTTTTTAAAATACAGTTTGTATACTACGCGTCAACTTGGTTGACAGTTAGTACACGTGTCCGTGTCAGGTGCATACTTGTAGAAGTTTGCCAAACACCTCTACACTTGTCGCACTAATTAAGTGCGCCTTTGTTGCTTTTCTTTATGCTTAAGATATAATTGAATTTTTATAAATAACAATCACATTTAGTTGACAATTGTAAATAATTCAAATGTAATGCGATTTATTTAGGCGGCGATGGTAAAATAATGTAATCGGGCGCGACCTTAATCTTTGAACTGGGTGCGCACACCGATGATTCCTTCTGCCCGGCAGATGATGCCAATAACGTGGGGCGGTAATTAGAATGAGAAAGACAAGAAGCGAGCAACAAGCGGATTCCTGCATCGATTTATTTTGCGCGCCGCATCAACATCATCATCGTCTGACGGTTTTGCGCGTCGACGAGTGAACGGCGTTTCGATTTTTGTTCCCCTTCCCCCTACAACATGCATGCATCTCCTTTCAAGGTTTCGCCCCAGGACGATAGCGCAATTGCTTGTGTAATTGCGCGCGGCCGCAAAATGGCTGCGCACTTCTTTATTTTTTCTATTTTCATTTAGAAATTGTTGTTTCTCCTCGCAACAATTGCGTTGTTAATAAGGAGAAGCACAAGAATTGAGGGGTGGTTGTTGCTAAATGGGGAGATCGGGTGGGAGAACCTATAAAATAGAAAAGCAAAAACCCGGGAGTAAATCAATAAAAGAGCGCGGCCGCCCGGTAAGAACACAAAGGCTGCAAACGTGACGGGGGAGGAGTTGCCGTTCCCGTTGTTACGCAACGAGGAAAGCAAGGACGCCCGAATTGTCATCGGGTTATTATTGTTTCCGTTTGACGTGTGCCCTACCATAGCCACCTCGGACTCATTGGTCCGTGTCGTATTCAGACACATGGTTGCATTTCTACCTCGTTATTATTATTATTATTATCATTTGGTGGTAGTAACAATATGCAATACACTAAGAACAATGCTAATAGGCGGTGCTGGATAGTAGTAATAGTAATACAATAATAATGATAAATAGATGGATGGATTTATATATTGGAGGTGGTGGTAGGATTCGGGATTGATTGATTTTTTTACCTGATAGACGGCTGATCTGGGCAGATCCAGACAGACTGCGCAGCAGAGGATTCCACCTAGACGTTCCTCCAATTTGTATCGCTTGTCTTCGATAATCTTTACCGTGGTGGAGATCTTGCGGCGCTTGGTGTCCGGCTCAGCGAATTCCTCCATTTTTTCCGGCGCGTTGTTGGTCTGGTTGGTCTCTGCCGCCTCTGCGGCGACGTTCTCGCTGCTCGACGGGGCGGCGTCGCTCTCTGACATAATAATAATTGCGGACAGGAAAGCCGTCGTCGTGGTCGTCGCCACCGTCCGTTAAAGCAATATGGTAGAGGTGGCTGCGACGACGGAGATGGTGGTGGTTCTGCTTCTGCTGCTGCCAAATGGAGAACCAAAACAGAGAACAGCTGAGCTGAACAGCAGAACGCTAGTCGCCAGACGCAACGCACGCATACAGACACACACACAAACGCTTCTCTCTCTCTCACTATGTATATGTATCGTTACCGCTGCTGCTGCTGCTTCTTCTGCCAGGAACAGCTGACGTGACGTCGAATCTTGTTTGACAACCTAACCTTCTGGCAGCGCTCTCTCCCCCCTTATACGCTCGCTCCAACTATTATTCTATACGCCTGCCTAGAACTGTTATTTTATTTTACTTCTTTTTTCTTTGAATGTCCATCCAATCGACATACACATCCTTCCACCACCCTCACTCTACCTGATTGTTGTTTATTATAGTCTGCAATTCACCCCAAGCTTGCATCCCCCAGCTGATATTCCTCTGCACCTCTATTTTTACATCCAAAATGCATTCCGTTCCAAGAATACTGACTGCTGCATCTGCGGGCAATTTAAATTTAGATACAGGGTGGCGCACTTTTCCATTGCAATCATTCAATAACATCAACACCACAATTCTAATCAGACATTACTTAAAGTTCTGATTAACTTTTTATATAAATGTGATGACAACAATTTAAGTTAAGAACTAACTACCAAAATCAGTCTTTTGTTTCTTCACCTGATGACATTTTCAAAAATAAATATAATGACAAATTTTCAATTAATTCTTAATGTTGATTTTAGTCAAGTAAATTTATTTCCTTTTACTACATATAATACGTGTGATATATAATGCAACACATAGTTCTAATAATATTCTTTAACCAACGGATCGGTATCATTCTTCAACTATATTCTCAATTCCACACGCAACTAATCTATTTTACTAGTGTTACGACCCAAGCCAGGTATATTTTCTAAAAAAAAAAATCAGAAAATAACAAACCTGAAATCGTTTCCTACGTTTTACAATCATTACTATACAAATTGAATCTCAAATCAATTTTATCATTAATTAATATTTAATATTTACTTTACTAATATCTAATAAACATGATTAATTCAATTCAACAAACAACTTACGTAATTTGTATAGTTTTTAAACGATTAGATTTCCATTGATAACTTTATTTATTTGTGATTTTGTATACATCACTTAATCTGATTGTTTCGATTTGATTATATGCAACCAAATATGTTTGCGTTTACCGATTGTTTAAAATTTGACAGATGTAAATATAGACGTTGTTAAAGCTTTAAATAATTGAATAAACATTTAGTTAACGTGATGTAAATAACAATATGTTCAGTAAATCATTAATATAGTATTATAAGTGAAATCAGTAAAATCACAGCTAAATTTAACAAATCACTTTTAAATAAGTTATTTTCAGATATGTAATTATATCTAATTGTAGATAATCCTATTGAAATATAACGATTTTCAGTCTAAATCCTATTTGTTTCCTAACCTATTCTTACATAATGTAATACGACCCAATCCAATTAGATATTCATTTAATACAGTTTTTTTTTATAAAATCAAGGCAGCGTACGTCAATTTTGAATTCAATCTTATGTCAATTATATTTTAAGATTTTTTTGCAGTTTCTACATACAATCTCTTAACTGCACGACTTCAAGATGATGGAACAAAGTAAAAAGTTGATAGAAAATTTGTCTTTTTCGCGATTATATTTGATTGTTGCTTTAAGTTGATCGCGCCGGACAAGAAGAGTTCATATGGGCAATGAGGACGAGAGCGTTGCTGGACCTCGAGGAGGATTCGCAGAGTTGGCGCGAGAGCAAACTGACCGATTACGAGTCATCAATACACAACGAGAGAAGAAAAACGCAGAACGCGTACGAGCATCACCTGAAGAACCTGGCTTCCTTCGTACCTGACGAAGTGTTAGTCAATTGCAACGATTACAGTTCCAGGCATATCGAAGGATGCATTTTGATCGTTGATGTTTTCGGTAATCTTATAAAGTTTTTGATATCCAATTCGAATTTAACTGTTTCTTAACTTTTCTAATTACTAATCAATATTTGAACAAGTGATTAAAGTATATGTTTGATTAAGGTTTTCCTGAATTGTGCGAGAAGTACAACAAGATTGGTAAAGGCGGTACATCACGACTGACGAACGTGCTGAACTCGTACATCGGCACACTGGTGCAGTCTCTAATGATGTACAATGGAGACGTCATCAAATTCTCAGGAGAAGAGGTGATGGCCTTCTGGAAGTGCGGCATCTCCTCCAACGATATGTCCATGCAGGAGTGCATCCATCAAGCACTGGACGCGGCTCTGACCATCAAAAAGACGCACGGCGAATACGAAACGGACGTTGGAGTTTTCCTATCACGTTCGTTAATTAACAGTACTATTAACATCATTTTATCCTATTTTATTTGCAGTCAAACTGGTCATTTCGGCTGGTCAGGTTTCCTTCGCCCTGATCGGAAACGAAATTCTGACAGATTTTGTCATCGTCGGTGCATCGATATGGGAAGCCAAAGGCGGCGGTGATCTCGTGCCTTACGGCGAAATCATCATCTCGATTAACGCGTGGGATTTCATCAATCACAACGAGTACGAGTACGACAGACTCGACAACAGTAATAATTACGTCAGGGTACTGCTCTAAAATTATTCAATTTTATTTTAGGGACTAAATTTAAATACATTGTAGGTGTTTGGCGTCAGTAGACATTGGAGAAGTACCCAAAGAAATACCACTAAAGAAGGTACATTACAAATATTGAATTATTAATTTGTAAATCATATACATATTTTATTTCTTCAAAACAGCAGTTGAAAATATGAATGCGGACGGAGATTCCATATATTCCATGGATTCGGATCGGCAAAATAACGATATACATCACAACATTTTTGAAAGTAAGCAACAAAAAAAAAGGTAATACCTTTATGAATGTTCATCGCTATTTCTCATTAAGTACGACCGTGCATCGGTGATGCTATCAAGAGAGACCTGGCGACTGATTTACGTAAGTACATTGTGCCCACGGTTCTCAAAGTGATCGACATGAACGAGGGCATCGAAAACCTGACGGAGATGAGGAACATCGTCATCGTGCTGATGCACGTGGAGGTGGTAAAGTCCGAAATCGAGGAATACATAAAGCTGGTGAACAAAATATACAACACGATTTCCGAGTGAGTGAACACAAACATTTATTAATTGAAATTTAATGAAAATCATAGTATTTCGCACGGCATGGAGGGTTGTCTCAATAAAATCTTCTTCAACGACAAGGATCTGCAGTTTTTGGTGATATTCGGTCTGCGCGGTTTCATCCACGAATTGGACAGTCAGAGGGGTTTGAATTGCGCCCGACGCTGTCACAAGCAAATCTTGCAGGTGACAGGTATAAAGTCCATCTCGGCATCTGTGACTACAGGTAATTTTTATATTTTCATGTTTACATCATTTTCATTTGTGTCTTAAGTACGAATGTATAATGAGCGATTTTACGTTTAATATAACTGAGGCCAATTATATTAAGGGCTCTCGTTTTGCGGTGTAATTGGTCACAATCTGCGAAGGGAATATTCCGTAATTGGACTGTCTGTGAATAGAGCGCAAAAATTGCTGAGCGCTTTTACGAATAAAATATCGTGCGACAGGCAGACGTTCTTCCACAGCAAATTGGAGGCGCGGAATTTCCTTCTGCTCGATTCCAAAGCGCTGAAGGGTGTCACGAATCTGGGACCAATCTACGAATACGTGGAATTTGACAGGTTCTATTTCTCAAGACTTCGTTAAGACTTCGCATCTAATCGCACGTTTCAGTATATTGGCGGATTCTCGCAACGATTTCAGCCACTTCCCCATATTAGACAGGGTCAAGGAAATTACCATGTATACAAGAATATTGAAGAACGTGAGGGATATGGAAAAGGGCATGAATCTGAAGCAGCTGAAGCAACAGATAAAGGCGTCGGCGTTAGTGATATTCGGTAATCCGCGACAAGGAAAAACCCGTTTAACTGAAGAAATCCTGTTCTGCACGCCTTTGGATGTGCCCATTTTTAGGATAAAACTGATCGCTTCGGATAAAGCTGTAATTTGTTTATGTTGCTATCGAAGCATTAAATTTTGTAATTGCTTTCGTGTAGGTTCCGTATCAGGCCATACGGCTGTTGTTTGCTGTTCCATTGGGAATCACAGACAAATCGAACGTGAACGATCGAGAGCTGAAGATCACGTTCAAGTTGAAACACATGCCCGTGCCGGAGCTAATCTGCGTATTGAACAACATCTTCAAAGTTAACTTCTCCAAGACCGAGCTGTTTATGGGACTCTCGGAAAAGGAGAAGTACGTCGCCTGTAAAAAGACGCTGAAGCAACTATGCCATGCCGTTTGTACCAAAATTAATGCACGATTGAAAATATCATTAGTTATTTTTATTTTAGTGTTTCTCCAAGGTTTGGGTGCTCGTATTGGATGGAGGTGAATATATTGATGACGAATCTTGGCCTTTGATTTATTCGATGATGGAAACGTACACGGTCGTCTTGGTGATCGCTATGGCATCGAACACTTACATGAACTATATGGTCAAGCACATCTTGGAGCAGCCGAAGGTACAAGTTATGCATCTGAAACCTATTGATAAATGGTTCCACATCGGACTGGCCTGCCAAATGTTGAACGTGCACGGTATTCCCGCAGAGCTCGAAAGGTAAGCTACTCCCTAATGTTTGGTATATGTAAAATTTATTTATTTTTTATTATAGGAAATTGCACGAGAAGAGCAATGGGAATCCGGGATGGATAGAAAGTTACCTAATCAGTTTGTTGCAATCTGGTGAATTAACCATAAGTCCGATTCCTTTGAATACCATCGAAGAATGTCCACTCATAATTCCACCGAAAGAAATGATGGCTAGGTAATTTATATCTATTTAATGATTCATTAATTATCCTAATTGATTTTGTTGTTGTTAGGGATTTTGCAGCTACAGCTGCAATCGAACATGCCCATAGTCAACTTACGTTGAGCAACGATTATTATGCCGCACTTTTGCACGACAAATGGAAAATATTCAAAAATTCATTTCGGGTTTGTTGCAAAAAACTTGAATTGAATGATCATTACTATATTTTTTTTGTTGTTATTTTAGGATAGTACCACGAACATAGTAAATAACATGGTGATTCTAACGGAGACAAAGCCTGCAGCGAAGGAGGAAGATCACGATAAAATAAATACTAAGCTGGATTTGATCTATACTTATGCAGAAAATAAGGACAGCGAATCTTACGTGTCCTCGTCGATTCTGGGCTCGTCCGTGTCCAAGACGGGCATCAAGATGGTACCCCTCATAGATATTTGTCTTATTACAGAAGGATCAAAAATAGATGATATCGATCCAGAATTTTCACTTGACGGTAAAGGCTGAGGATAGTAATATTTATATTACGTTTAACATGAATTGCAGTTAGGATTATGAAGATATACGATTCTCTTACGTCATATGAGCAGTTGCTGTTAAAATGCAGCGCCGTGATCGGAGAGGTGTATTCGAGAGAGATGCTGATGTACGTGATGAACTCGCAGGATTCTTTGAAGACGGCGAAAGGTTCCGTTGAATCCGATTAATCAAAACAATTCATCAACATCTGATTTTCGTAAAGCGGTACAGAAACTGTTCGAGATCGGAGTGCTGGGCTGCGCCGGAGGAAAATTCACTCAACAGTTTACTAATGCCATCTTGAACGCACCGGAGATTAACAGCGACGAAGATCACATGATCATTTGCAAATGCATCGGAATTAACACGCCCGGTATTTAGAATCTAAGTGCTTCCAAGTTATATTTATAATTCGAAATCAAACAGATTACATGAAGTTCTTGCCGAATTACGCGCTGTGCGGCTATCTGAGATTCAAAATACCATCCTTCCGGGAAACAACGTACAACATCCTGACGCTCGATCAGAAAAAAGAGTACCACGCGAAGGCGATCCGATATCTGGAGAAGAAAACGCGAAAGTGCATAAGCTGCGGCGGAGGTCCGCTTGTCAAGTTGATGGGAATTCGTTACGATCAGGTCGGGATTAATATGTAATTTGTATCGATTTAATCGGCGTGTTAAAAAAAAAGGATTGGATGAACAAGCGAAAGACGAATTTGGTGATGAGAAAGGATACGGTCGCGCAGAGATCGTCTTTCAGCATTCTCGAGAACTGGGAAACATCTTCAAAGGATTTTCAGCTTAAGAAGCAGAGCAAGAGCAGCTTAGATTTTAAGAGATCCAGTCAGGATCCGAGGAAATCTAATTATAGCATCGCTTCTCAAGGTAAATTGTATTGTACTAGGTAGCACCAATGCATAAGAAAATTGTTGTTGCTTTCAGATACGAAGCTGAGGGAATTTTCGTCGTTGAGAGATATAAATAAACTGAAGAACAGGATATCTCTAATACGAACTTACTCGGATTTAGATTACAACGATTGCGACTGCTTCCGCATATTGGATTGCATGTATAAGCAGTTGATAGAACATTGCGAAGGAGCAGGTTTGAAACTAACATATTTAGGTAGAATTTTAAAATCAGCACCAGTTAATAATGATCTTTTGCATTTTCTAGAGGAAATGGATAAATGGTTGTACGCTATATTAGAATACAGCAGTCTTTGCATTAACAACTTCAATAGGCCTTTGGCACTGAAGATCTTGTTCAATGCGTTGGACGTTTTAGAAGTAATGCAACTAGAGTTTCTTTTTATAATAATATAATTACAATATTGTATTGCAGGAAAACCAAACTCTTATTGTGAAACCGGAAGAGTATTGGAAGTTGCCTTACATAAGGGCGAAGATTCTGACGCTAATCGCGATAGCGCGTTTCGAGATTGGTCAAGTCAACGAAGCCTACATCATTACCGATTTCGCCCTGAGAACATACGGTACAGAGAATATTTTAGAAATTACGTTTAAATAAAAATCTTTTTTGCGTTAAAGGCTACAAGTTCCCCTACAAATCAACACTGAGATTGAGACTGCTAGAAATCATACAGTTCGTGAAGTTTAACTACTCCTCGTCCAATACAACGAAAGATGATTATAACGCCGAGTATTGTGATAACGTTTCCGAGTGTTTGAATCTGATGTCCAAAATATTTATGGTTGTTTCGTTCAAGTTTATGTAGTATGTGCGAAATTTTATTGGATTCGTTTTTTCTTAGTACTTGGGTGATTGGAATAACGCGGAATTGGCTGCGATTTGGAGTTTGCGGAAAGCCTTGGAGTCGGAGAAAAACTTCTTCGTTCTAATAAACGCGTACACGAATATGATCTGCACGGCTCTTCATAATAAGAAGTACTTTGTTTTGGTGTCTTTGGAGATCAAGGCGCTATTGTATAGCAGATGCTATCGGGGGGTGATCGAACCCAACGACCTTTTTGCGATCTACGAACTGTATTCGTGTATATTTTTAGCCAGGTAATGATGATCTTATTTTATTTGCTAACATTAAATGTATCTCATCAGAATTACGCGAGGTGAATTGACGGAATGCTTGAATATTGGAAACGTTGTGCACAATATATACAATTCGCTCGGGAATAAAATCGTAGTGCACGATGTATTGCCGCTGATGGTGCAGGTTCTGCTGCTGATGAACAAGGTGATCGATGCTGTCATCATCATCACCGATATGCAGTACACGTTGGCGGACAATCCGGAAAGGAGCGGACAAGCTTGGTATTTCGCGTTGTGCATCAGCTTCCACTTGGACACTGGATTTTTCATTTTACCTATACAGCGTTGCATCAAGTTCTTGGATACCAACAATGTGATCACGACTACTACCAATTGTTCAGCGGAGAAGAGAATGTATACTGCTCTATGGCTTTGGCAAGTTTAACCTTCATTTATTGACTTTTTTTGATCTAATTACTTGAATCTTATTATAATGAATAATAACAATGCTTTTTTGGTAGGTGCCTAAGAAACGAAATGTACGAGGATGCAATACTTTGGAAGGAGAAGGTGGATGCAGTGTGGTCTTTCAAAGATCAGGATGATTTGGTGAACGCTTTTACAGCGTTGTACTATATGGAAGCTCTGCTGCTGTTGGCGATCAAGCAAATGGATAAGAAAAACATAGTCGTGATTGATAGCGTTTATGCGGAAATAGATAGTTTATTTCAAAAGTTGGATATGAACGCCAAGATATTCATCATAATATACCCAAGGTAATTTACAATTTTTTCACGATTAATATTAATGATAATAATAAGAGTAAACTTAACATATAACAAAAACAAAGTTAACATTGTTTTGTTGTTTAAGACTATATCACATGAAAGCTCTTTATGCGATGATCAAGATCAATGATCTGGAAGCCTTCAATTTCCTGCGGAAGGGACAACGGCTCGCCGAAACGAACGGGAATTTGTACGACTCCGAATGGTTGAAACATTCTGAAATGGTCCGGTGGATGAAATATGTCCTAACTTTTCCCTAACCGAAACGAAAATGTTTTTTTTTATTTTCCTCTTCAGGCTTGGTCCCACGACATGTCAGAAATGGAACGTAACCTGTGGCTGGATCACGCCGTCAGCGACGAACTCTTCTACAACGACATGGAATCATATGATATGCAGATAAGTTATTACACATTGGAGCCTCCCACATATTTGTAAAATAGTGAATTTCTAACAGAAAAAAAAAACAACAAATAAATGGGTAAAATTAAGTTTTCTCATCACGAAATTGATAAATTATCAAATATTGGAATTTATTTGTTAATTTTATTTGGGGATTTTGGCATGAAGACAATAATGTAATTTGGGAAACAACTCATTATTTATGAATGTATATATTATTATTATTATATGTAGAGAGAGATAGATAGGAATGTCACAGTCTTCAAATTGTAAGAAATACTTGTTTAGGATTGATATAGCAAATATTCCTTGAGGACTTTGGGCAAAGGTAGAGAAGAGACTGCATTCTTTGTAATGTGCTGCAGAATTGCGTCACGGCATGCCGCTTGCAATGTTGAAACTGAAACCAATGGTTTGTATTAAAAATCGAACGTAATTTTGCAATATTTGAGAAAAACAATGATGTATATACATACCTCCATAAAGTTGTATTATCCTGACTTTCTTGGTTGTCCCATAAACGTCTACAACGACGTACAGAGGCATCTCTGTGTACGGGATGTGCTTAACACAAGCACCCTGATCCTCCCCATTGATAATATAATGCATGTTGGCTTCATGATCACTAGTCGGAATGTACATGACACCAACACGACTGAAAGCATCAGTGGGGAGAGTGCCCAGAGTCTGCTTAGTCGGTTTCAGCAAACTGATGGGCACAGTGCCTCGACAAGTTTTAATACTGTTTTCGCTTGGCACCACCTTCCATCCAGTGTCGTAATTCAAAAAGTGATTCCAAGCCTTCGATATACCGTAAATCCAGGAAGTCCCCTTCTTCGTTAGATCGGGCAACGCGTACCTAGGTATATCGTCACCATTGTGGAACACGGTGTACGGATTCAGCTGTGTCAGCCCCAATCTGAGATGTCCGCTCCAGCCGCTCTGGATCTGTTCAATCTCGATGAGGAATATCTCTCCGGGCAGGAGCGGCTTCTCGCTGAAAGTTAACGCGTTCGCGAAGCTCTTCTTCCTGTAAGCCACGGTGTTATCGTCGGAGAGGATTATGTTGTCACCGTGAAAGGGATGAAATCTGGTCAGCTGCAATTTACTCGCCATCGTTCTCTGTGTACTGCTACTGCTCGACGATGATATATTTCTATTCGACGCACTTTCTTGATCACATCTTCACTACTTACATCCTTAAATCACATTGTCGCATGAAATGATGTACTCCATTCCCAATGTACGTACATCACCACAAACAACATAAGCATAAACTATACCATCAATACAACAACAAATCAATTTTGACGTCCTCTCACCATGAATTGCCATGATTGGCCATGATTCCTCCACTTGTTTCAATCCTACCAACGTGACATTCATATATGCTTGCACGTATGCAATTTATAATACAAGTGCAAGAAAAAAAGTATATATTCTAATTGCTTTAAAAAAATATAATTATTTGTAAATCTATAATGAAGTAAGTAAAAAAACATATATAAAATGTAATATTTATTTGCAGGACCGGGGGCATTACCAAATGGACAAACTGGACAAGGGGCAGCGATGGATGGAAGGACTTGCACGTTCTCACACAGGGCGACATAAACTTTATCGCCGGCCCTGTTATTATGTTAAGGCGACGCATTTAGTTCAACGCTTTCCAAGTTGTTCACTGCATTAAACAAACAATTAACATATGCACTTTGCACTACAATTACTACCGAATTGAATGCAACTTGGTTCGTTAACTTTGTAGAATAGGAAACAAAAATTACAGACAACGAAATGACTTTTTTTGCATTTCTGCAATTGAATAATTTTGATTTTGTTGTTAAAAATGATGCAACACTGATGTTTTTTATTTGTAATTTTAGTAGCCATAATCTTATTTGAAAAAAAAATTGAATTCTCGGGGAAAAACGAATAATTTCTACTACATTTATACGAAATCCCATACATATACAGTAATACCTCGCTAAGTGCGGATAAATCTATGAAACGCAATAAAAATCAATCTAGTGTACGAATATTTGCGGCACCAATCAATATACTCGTAAAAAAAATCCTACAGTGCGGACGTGCCTTCATAGGCAAACTAAACGAAATTAAGTTAACAAGACTGAAGAGATATCGCAAGGATTCTTTTATGTCGCTTTTATTGCGCTCCTCTGTTACGGAAATGTACTTCATATTGCGAATATAAATACATAGAAAAGTGTTTAAAATTAAGAAAATAATGAATTCATTTAATTCATAAGTATTAAATATTGTCGTTAGTTATGTTTGTTTCAGATAATTAATTGTAGTGGATGACAGAAGAGGATGCGCCGCAGGTGGTTGCAGAGCGTCGCGACGTCGACACAAACGCAACACATCTTTACACGACGTCCAGACGTTCACTCCACTTCATCATCATCACCAGCTTCGACAATTCTAAAGGTAAGCTCTTTAATACTACAACAATCAGTTAAAACATTTGGCAGAATTTACTGAAATTATCAATAATTCGAATATAAACCGATACAAATTACTGTTTTATTTCATTATATTTGCATTAACTTGACTTTGATTGATGGCTGAGATTATATAGAATCATGTTACCAAAGGGATAAACAAAATAGTTCGAAGGTATTAAAATAGATTACATTTTAATCAATTGCTGATATTGCAATTTGTATATAGAATGGATTAGGTCTAATTAATATCTTTGTTTGCAAAGTAGACTCTATTAACATTGACATTGCTATTGAAACCTTCGCCGACGCACGGATGTAGCAAATTAAATGGATTTCATAGCAGCAATTGACAACATTAACTTTTTCTTGATTTCCCAGACGAAGGAAATGCTTCAGCGTACTCTCTCTATTGTACTTTGGTGCTTGATAGCAACAAAGACAGCGCATTCGACCAACAAAAATGCATCCGACTATCAATACTACAACGTCGGTGTTCTGATGGCTTCGAGCTTGAATTCTCCTTTCGATTTGGAAAGATGCGGCCCGGCGGTCGACCTGGCTCTGAATGACATCAACGAGAGATTCTTGGATCGTCACGGCATCAAACTGAAGAAAGTCCAAGCAAGGTAAACAGTGATTGAAAAATACAATTATTTTATACTATTTGAAGTTATTTCACTGTTCGCAACAGTCCGGTTTTCGATTTACACAAATTGATTCAATTGTAACAATGCGTTTGAACTGTTTTGATTTCTGATTTTTCGAATAATGGGAATAATCAGGTAATCGTTGTTGTTCGATTCGATTCGATTTGAATATATAGTAATTAGCTGTTGTAATTATGTAGGACGTATGTATTTAGATTCAAGTTCATGATCGCGCTTTTCAACGGCAACGCGTATGATACAATAATGCTGATGGATGCGCGCAAAGCCTGAATAGGCTTTTAATTGTAGTCGTCCTTGCGAAAATATCCATTTTAATTTAGAAAATTTCCCAGAAATATTATGATTAATACAAACATAATTATTTACTAGCCGTCATTCATTAGCCTATATTCATTTGTTTTATAAATAATATTTAGAAATACATGAAATAAGAATGTCTGTCTCATTAATCTATAAGAATTATTATTTTTTTCTTAAATTACGCCGAATACTTCAAGTAAATTAATAATTAATTTATATAAATGTATTATAAAAGGATATTTCGACTGAATTATATATGAATATCTTAATTATTTTGAACAAAAGTAAATTTTCTGGAAAAAAACAAAATCAACACTAGAAATGTTGTACAACAGTAGCTTAGCTTAAATTAATTCACATTAAACAATCGCGCAATCTAAATTTAGTTTTTGTTTTGTTTTTTGGTGATTCAAATGTTTCCTTTGACTTATTTTTAATGATATTAAATTAAGCATATTGACTTAGTTTATTACTTAAGAGAAATTAGCGGTAAATATTATTAGTAAAAACCGGTTAATTACCGGTATTTTTTTGAAATTGAAATAGTTAACTATTTAGTTTAAAAAATACTTAATGCATTAACAAAAAAAAACAATAAACATCTACACTTTAACTTAATAAAATAAGCGAAATTTATTGAAACAAATAATTAATAATAACAAATACGAAATTAGTTTAATACATTAAAAGACAAGCAGTAATCAAATCGTATCTGAATCGCTCAGACTTGTTGTAATTTTCATTATTTCAACGACAGCTATACCATCTGCAGACTATAGATTTAGTAATGACAGATTAATTCAACTGAAATCAATTATAATTATCTTATTGATGTATATTCCTAAATTCTAGTGAATTGTGGACAAATTGTGCAAAAATTGGACAAAATCCGAAAAGTTTGTGCGTCGATCTAGAATACGCAAAAATTAATTCCTTTTTTACGGAAGTATTTTGTGTACACAATTTATCAATCATAAATCTATGTTTAACATATAGTTGATATAATTTCATGTTCAGAAAACGAAATTTTAATATTTAAATTAACATTTTTTTTTCTGGCACATTATTTCAATTGATAGGAACGTTCTACTGTATCTAATAGATCTAAGAGATTCTGTTGTGTCCAACCGTTTTTCTTACAATTATTATTGTTGTTAATATAGTGCAGTTATTCCCAAAGTGGTCTATATCGACCCCCAGGGGTCTATGATAACCTGCAAGGGGTCTACGTCAACGAAAAAAAAAATTGGGGGTCCATGAAATGAAAATGGGGGTCCGCGATAGTGGATCTCAACATACACTGATAGTACCTATTTACTTACATTATACTATCTTATAATATAAAGACATATATATATTAATTTTAAAAGTACCTATGAAGTAAAAAAAATATTATATATGTTTATAAAATTGTGTATGTTTTAGGATGTAGGCATTCGCTTTGTGGTCGCAATACATTTTGTAAAAACTTGTAAAAACCTGGACATTATGATATACCAGTATCATCTTGTTACAAGCATACGCGCAGTCTCAGAGCAAAGATCTTAATAATTATAAAGATGTCCCAATATAAATTTACAAAAAATCAATATCAGGTAAGTAGGGGGTCTACCCAAAACTGAAAAACATGGCAAGGGGTCTACGACACAAAAAAAGTTTGGGAACCTCTGATAGAGTGTATTAATGAACTAGAGACTTCTACGACGTCTCTTTGTCGCCTTATTATATAAACATATACATAAGCATAAAGGAATCACTACCGTGATCCCAGTTCGATACACTTTAATATAAACAAAGGGGACACCAAGCGTAAACAATCCCATCGATACTCCTATACCTTTTTGAGTGCTCCGAATTCAAGTCAAGTTTTCTAAACACTATTTCCACGTGCAATCGTAATCAATCATCTTTTTCATATAAACAAATGCATAGGAATTTGTTCCGGTCTTATAATAAACAAAATCACCAAGGCCGAATCCTGTGGGAACGCGTAATCATCACAACTCCCACCCCGTAATTAACCTCGTCAGTAGAATAAGTATTTAGAATTGGGTCTTAGTCAAAGTCCCTAAATTCATTCCACTTATCGGTTTTTAGTTACAATTAGTAAAATATCTTCATTTTAAACATCACTTTTAATATCCGTGTAAAGAAATTACTGGTAATTCTGTAACACGACGGGTGCTACAAAATATACAAATCTTCTACGCCTGCTGGGCGTGAGTCCCTGACGTGGGAAGGTTCAGGGCGCCGCTTCCTATTATTGAGAGGAATAACTGTTTTCCTCAGAACAGCAACTTCTTCTCCGACGGTGGGCCTTGGCTCCTCTAGAACACCAACACCAATTTCCTTCGCGGTTCGCTGCGGTCTCTCCGAATTTTGGAGCATAGTTGCAGCGTTGTCTATTTTACCACGTTACAATTCTTTTGAACATTTTGAAGTATTTTTAACAAAAAAAAATACGTGTTTGAAAAAACACCTTAATTTCATACATAAAAGCATGTATAATGAATGATAAAATATGTCAATAAGAGCAGTTAAATTGAGAAAGAGAAAGTTCTTCTGTTACTTAATCGTGTCAAGACATTTGCAGCAGTTGCTTTCATGTAGTAATTGGAGGTGTAACAGCTGTAAACAATGAGTAAAACGTATGGAGATGAGATGTGTGTTATTGTGTACAATTGGTGTTTAGTTATCCGTCGTGCAGCGGTGCGAAAGCTCCAGGACACGCGGCTGATATGCATTTTAAGGATAATGTGATTGCATTCATCGGCCCTGCTTGCATGTTCGCGCTGGAACCAGTCGCCAGTCTCGCCGCATATTGGAATACACCGATAATCACTGGAATGGGAGATCAAGTAAGTTTGAATTAATTCAATCATATTATTGTCAGATGCATTCAAAAACTAATAATAATAATATGTACGAGGATAGACGGGAAATCTTTATATTAAAATTATATTTGATACGGATTTCATATTTCCTAGTTGCATTGTGATGTACTAACCTTTCTCGAACTCTTCGTCAAATTGATTTGAAAACGTTCCATCTAATAAATGAAAAAAAGAAAAAACGAGATGGAAATAGTAACTATAACAATAAAAAGGGAACTCGTGAAATATAGGCAAAGTGCGTATCGTTATGAAGGGATACTCGCAATCCATTAAATCCTGACGAGGCCCTGAATAATAATTTTCGCATCGTTCGTATTCAAATTAAAAATGTCCGTGTCATTTCGTTTTCGTTTCACAAAACAAATTTTCAGTCCTCCTGTCTTTTTTTTTTCTTTTCACTTCATAACTAATGCGAGTGTTCAACTGTTTTAATCGCAGCCTCCTTCCGAAGGAGAACTGTCCGTCACTTCCGGTATATTGGGCAGATTGCAGAGATGGAACAAGAACGATACGACCGTGAGTAATTTCATTTTTTTTTGTTTTCGCCTGTCGTTCGACCAAATATTATATATCATTGGATGTGTGCGCGATTTTTACAGTCGCAAGGAATTTTCAAGAACAAGAGTAAATTCTATCCGACGTTGACGAGGCTCTCGTACTGCCAGTGTCGCTTGAAATTAGTCTTCGCCAGTGTATTCAAGCAGTTCGGTTGGAAACACATCGCTCTGATTTTGGATAGATCAGATCTCTTTTCGTTAACTGTCGGTAAGTCTTCATATTTTAGTAATTTTCTCAAAAACTGTAACAGATTGTTTGGATATGAAAGATGCATACGAAAGTTGGATGTTTGCGGAATGCAACATGTATTCAAATATAACTGTGCGTGCATCGGTTTCGCTGTAATGAACGTTTTAAAATGAAATATTAAAGGTCGAAAATTAAAGTGTCTACACATTTTAGTGATTTTCTCGACAACTATAATAAGTAGGATGGATCTAAATGATACACATGCAACTTGAATATTTGGGCAATATAATGATTATTCAAATATTACTGTAGTTGCATTCGTTTCGCTGCAGTTCAAAGTTGAAGTACAGAAATAAATAACACTAAAAAAAGCAGTGTTTTCAAATTTTAATGATTTTTGTCAGAAACTATAATAGATATACTGTATCCAAAAGATACACATGAAAATTGGATGTTTGTGGAATTAAACATGTATTCAAATATAACTGTGAAAATGAAATATTAAAGGTCGAAAATAAAAGTGTCTACACATTTTAGTGATTTTCTCGACAACTAATATAAATAGAATGGATCCAAAAGATACACATGATAATATAACGAGTATTCAAATAATGTATGTATCCGTTGTATTTCAAAGTTGAAGAAATTACATAAATGCTCGAAAAAAGTGGTGTTTTCACATTTTAATGATTTTCTCAGAAACTATAATAGATAAAATGTATCCAAAAGATGGACATGAAAGTTGGATGTTTGTAGAATGCAACATGTATTCACATATTACTTTCCGTGTCTTCACATTTTAGTGATTTTCTAGACAACTTTAATAAGTAGGATGGATCCAAAGGATCCATATGAAACTTGAATATTTAGACAATATAGCAAGTATTCAAATATTGTTGTAGTTGCATCCGTTTGGCTGTTCAAAGTAGAAGTAATGAAAAAAAGCAGTGTTTTCACATTTTTGTGTTTTCATGATTTTCTTAAAAACTATAATATTGACGTGGTTGACTGTAATCCACGTTAAAAGTTGAAGTAATTAAAAAAAAAATTGCTGCGATTTTCGAATAACAAAACGATTCGACGAGGATGGGATTCGAACCCACGCGGGCAGAGCCCATTGGATTAGCAGTCCAACGCCTTAACCACTCGGCCACCTCGTCTTCTTGTTAGTAAAACTTTAACAACCAATAAGTGATACCAACATTCGAATATGTTCAATAATATAAATTTAATAATTATTAACGTTTTCATAATCTATATATGCATTTACCATCATCATAAAAACGATCATGATTTTTATTTGTTTCTTAGTGATGATGATTTTCATCATTTTATGATGATACCAACTTTACATTTTTAATATTAAAGTTAAGCATATTGCTCTAAGAAAATAACTTGGTTTGACCATAGCATACCAATTTACATCAACAAAGTCACTATATTTAATTATTTTGGTGGCTTTTTGTTGTTGTTGTTGCTCAAACGTATGGTTATTTCCGTAATCGTTATACTATATTATTTTGATAATTTTTTATTTGTTGAACAAACTTATTGTTTTTAAATATAATTATTGCAAAATTAATGCCCCAGGTGAGGATCGAACTCACGACCTTAAGATTATGAGACTTACGCGCTGCCTACTGCGCTACCGAGGCTATTGTAATATTACGTAATAATTTTGCTTTGCAATTAATAGTTTCACTATATCTATTACGAACTTCTACTTCATTAATACTTTTAAAAGCACTGAAAGCAATTATTTAATACACAATGTTAACCACAAAATTAATTATGAAACGTTATCTAATTGGTGCATAGTTGTAATGTATAAATTTGCTCGTTCAGAGCTCAAATTTGTAAATTCATTAAAACCGGCGATATTAGGCTATTAATTACACGTTATAAACTCTGACGTTCACGAGATTATCCCCATTGGAATAACATGTATGTATTGTCGGCGGCTTTAGGAAAAAATCTGGAGCACGGGCTGAAGCGTGAAGGTCTTCTGGCCTTCGTCAGGGAATTGGATGGAAACGATGAAGAGATGTACGATAATTACCTCAAGGATGCCAGCAGATACGCGAGAGGTAATAATATAGATCTTGTTATTATTCTGCATAATCATCAAACATAATAACTTTCGATTCTATTTATTTCGGCTATCTTTTAATTTAAGCTTTCCTTTTTTTGCTTCATTCATACGAGTAAATAATAATCAAAATCTCTGCAGCTGAAATCCCGACATCGATAAACCCGACACTCAAAATCCCGACAGTATCTTATATTGTTTGATATAGACATCTATTGTTTAGAGTAAAACCTGTGATTTATCGGAACCGTGTTTGTATACTTACGCTAAATTAAAACTAACTATTAGACTCATCAAGATTTGTAAAAACGAATATTTGTGAAATAATTCCATCACTAAAAGGCAAAAAAGGTGTATTATGGGCAGAGTCGAACCGAAATTAATTTCGTTCCGGTTTACGGTTACGTTCCAAGTAAATATTTATTGTTCCAGATTCGGTTTCGGTTCGTCTAAAAATTTCGGTTCAGTTCCGGTTGACATTAAAATTTAAAATCGAAAAAAAGCAATTTAATTTGGTTAGTTAAAATTTAAAATCAAGTCAAATATCAAATTTTAGTATAATTTTATTTACCAAAATCCCTTTTTACTATTGTTTTCAATTATAAAATTGAAAATACAAAAGAAATAAAAATTAATTAGTGTCTAGTTGAACACATGCACTTTGTAATGTTTCTTCAGTCATGTTTACAGTAATATCCGTTTTAATCACTTTCATTTGAGTTTGTTCTAATGTTAGTTGCGGAAGACTTTTTCTTATTCTCTTTTTAGTCGGTTAATTTTCTGAAAAAAAGAATAATAATTGAACCGAAATTAACCGTAAATAAAATTTCGGTTTCGGTTTTTCAATTCAGCAATTTTTACGGATCAGTTAAAAATTTCGGTTTACGGTTCGGTTCCGTTTCGACTCTCTGATTATAGGTCATTTCATCAATTCTACGCTCGATTTTTTTAATTTCTAGAACCATTTCTAGAACAATTTCTAGAAGACAACCAAATTATTTGACAAAGTTGAACGAGGATTTCGAAAATCCGCTACAATGTTCGGTATTTTGTTTCTGTCGGGATTTCTAATGTCGGGAATTTGATTATCGGGATTTCGATATAGACCCTAATTAAACGTATTCATAATTTCACATTTCTTCATCACATGAGGCTAACAAACTATGTAAGTAAAACTTTGTTCATCCATTTTTTGCGAAATATTTATTATTAGTATTATAATACATTATTGTAGCTCCGAGTTGCTGGCAATGAAAGAGATAAACTAATCTTTTGATCAATGCGAATCGATTTAACAGAGTTAATCAAACTTTCTTTTTTTAGTGGTGATATTGAGTGTACGCGCGGCTTTAGTGAGGAAGTTCATGTTGGCCGCCCATGGTTTAGGCATGACTAAAGGAGATTGGGTATTCATGGACGTGGAGATTTTCAAAGTAAACATTTCCAAATCGTGGATGATGGATGCTTAAAGTTAGATTTTTCGTTAAAGGGGAATTATTGGGGAGACCTGGATTGGGCGGTCGGCGACAAGAACGACACGGTCGCAAGGAAAGCGTACGAGGCTCTTCTCCGGGTGTCCTTACTTCAGCCGACCAGCGACAAATTCCAGGATTTCGCGGATAAGGTCAAAGAGAGAGCTCAGACTGATTATAATTACACCATTAGCGATGGGGAAGAGGTAAATTACAAGCCAGTCGCGGCGTTACATCACGCATTCGTCGCACAAATTCATGTGTTTTTCATGTAGGTGAACTTCGTGATTGGCGCATTCTATGATGGTGTTTACTTGCTGGGAATGGCTCTGAACGAGACGCTTTCTACGGGTGGCAACATCAGAGACGGCCTGGCCATTACCAAGAAGATGTGGGATCGCGATTTCCACGGTAGAAATCAATAAATTCGAAGCAACAAATGTAATGAAATTTGATATGACTTTTAATTTAGGAATTACCGGTCATGTCAGGATCGACGATAACGGAGACAGAGACGCGGATTACTCCATACTCGATCTGGACCCGATAACTGGGAAATTCGAAGTGGTCGCCCATTACTACGGTCTGCACAAAACGTATTCGCCGGTTCCCGGCCAGAAGATTCATTGGCCCGGAGGACGGGAAGAACCACCGCCGGATATTCCCAAGTGCGGATTTCTGAACGACGATCCCAAATGCATGAACGATGGTAAGTCATCATATGCACACCGAAATTTACGACGTTATCGATTCATCGTTGCAACTGCAGTTGCTCACTGATAACTTTTACTGTTTATGTCTCTGCTGCACATCAAAAGAAACGTATTTAATTATTATATATGGAAGTGCCGCTTTAGGATTGGTTTTAGCTTTCACAGCTCTACTTGCTTGTGTCGCCTTAAAGTAAGTAATTATACAAATACATAAAACCATCAATCAATAAAAATGTAATATTGGGGTAAAGTATGATTTCTTAGGGTCTATTGAGGTTTGATACAATTTTGTACAATTATGCGTTTTAATGAAATATTTAATTCTGTAATTTGAAATTGAATTGATGAACTAAAGGAGAATTTTGGACTTAAAAAGTCGTTAAAAAAATCTTCAGATTAACAAAAATATCTCATTTGTCATAACAACAGGGGATTATATGAGAAATTTCTGCATTACAATATACAAAATTTAGGAGTATATTGAAAACTTATTTTGTTAATCAAGTAAGTTGATGTAGACAAAAAGATATTTGTTTTGCATTTGTTTTTTTCCCTAACAAATTCAATTCAAGTAATACTTGTCACTTGACAAATTGTTTGGTAAAGTAAACATCAGGGTACCAGAAAGTATCACATTTTTTTTTATAGGCAACTTTTAAAAGAAATCTTTTTTTTTTATTTTAACTATATTCAGGTAACAAAGGGTTAAGTTGATTGCTAATACTTTTTATGTTAGGCACATACGAATAACAGCGGATTTAAACAACATGTCTTGGCGCATACGACCCGACGAGGTGATGTTCGAGTTAGGGTTACTTTACGGCTCCAAACTAGGACTTCCGAAGTTACCTGAAGTAATTTGATACGTAAAAGAACAATAAAGAAGCTTAATTATATAAAAAAAAATGATTTACTTTTGCTAGTCAATGAACGTATCCAGCAGACGACCATCCGTTTCGTCAATCAACTCGCTGCATTCCTCATCGAATTTCACCAGGGTCGGAGTCTACAAAGGCACGCGCGTCTCCATTAAGAAAATCATCAAGAAGAAGATGGACATTAACAAGAAACTTCTGTGGGAAATCAAGCAAGTACGTAATAGATACCGAATCGTGTATTTATTTTTTTTTATTTCTACACTCTTAATGTAATTTTCTATGTCTGGGTTGATCTCTTTTTGTTTGTTTTTTTTTGTAAGGTAAGAGATGTTACACACGAGAATACCGTTCGCTTCTTGGGTGCGTGCATCGAGAGTCCGAGCGTTCTCATCATCACCGAATACTGTCCCAAGGGGAGTTTGCGTGAGGTCCTTCATAACGATGCAATCCACCTGGACTGGAACTTCAGGATGTCGCTGATCGACGATATTGCCAAAGTGAGTAACCACCATCAGTATATAACCACTTCACCTAATGAGAAACTCTTTCTTTTTTTTTTCGAAGGGGATGAGCTACCTGCACAACAGCGAGGTCTCCGTCCATGGAAAACTCAGTTCTCACAATTGCTTAATCGATGGCCGCTTCGTATTGAAGATCTGCGATTTTGGCTTGACCACTCTTATGATGCCCGCCGACATCATTAAGGATATCAATTACTATCTGAGTAAATACATTCATACACTTATAATAGATCTAATTTATTGCCTATTCAATCCACATTTCAACACTGTCAGGATTTCAAATGTCGGGATTTCGATATAGATTAATGAGTGTAACATTTTTCAAATTCTTACTTAGAATTAATTTTATGTTGATTTAAGAACTATTGTGGATTGCGCCGGAACTGCTCCCACTTACCGTCATAGCAGGAACGCCGGCAACGCAAAAAGGCGACGTCTACAGTTTCGCTATCATCCTCGAGGAGATCATTCTGAGAGCCGGTCCATTCTTCGCCGCAATGCAATACATAGATGTACACGGTAAATTATCTTTAAAAAAAATTCTTTAATTTGTATTACAAAATTTGGTTTGGTTGTATAGAAATTTTAAGCCGCGTCGCTGCCAGAGAAATTCCCGCCTTCAGACCTGCCGTCGGTGACACCGATTGTCCCGACAATCTGATCCATCTGATGGAATCGTGCTGGGATGATAACCCAGATTGTCGGCCCTCCTTCGAGGTGATCCGCGGTGCGGTCCGATCCATCATGAAGTACATGTTCGATCCAAATAATCACTCATCTAAACGACTTAATTGTCTTTGCTCCTTTTTTTTTGTTTCTCTTCTTTTTTTAAGGGGTTACTGCGATAACCTGATGGACGATCTCCTCAGACGCATGGAGCAGTACGCCAACAATCTAGAATCGCTTGTCGGGGAGAAAACGAAGGAACTGAGTCAAGAGAAACGTCGCTCGGAAGAACTTTTATACCAAGTAGTAGATAATAAAATACATAAAATCTAGATACATTATTTCTATAATTATTAGGTGCTGCCTCGACTTGTAGCGCAACAGCTGATGGCAGGTGAGATTGTTCAGCCGGAGCAATTCGAGTGCGTCACCATTTACTTCAGCGATATCGTCGGATTCACCGTGCTCTGCGCCCAAAGTTCCCCAATGCAGGTCGTCGATTTCTTGAACGATCTTTACAGCACTTTCGATAGAATCATAGGCTTCTACGACGTCTACAAAGTGGAAACAATCGGTGATGCGTACATGGTCGTCTCCGGACTTCCAGAAAGAAACGGCTATTATCACGCTAGAGAGATATGCCTAATGTCTTTAGCAATGCTCGACGCTGTCCGCTCTTTCACGATACAGCATCAACCCGATTATCAACTGAAACTACGCATTGGTATACATTCTGGGCCTGTTTGCGCTGGTGTTGTTGGCCAGAAAATGCCTCATTACTGCCTTTTCGGCGATACAGTGAACACAGCTAGCAGAATGGAAACTTCTGGAGAACGTAAACTTTAAAACTTACAAAATTCCATCTTAAATTAGCTATTTTTTTGTCTACAGCTCTCAAGATCCACGTCAGCGAATCTACTAAGCTAATATTAGAGAAGTTCGGCACTTTCAATCTGGAATTACGAGGAGAGGTCGAGCTAAAAGGTAAAGGAAAACTCGTAACGTACTGGCTTTTGGGCAGCTCGGATCCGGACGCTATGCCTCCAACGCCCAGACACAGCACGCCACCGGATGGACAAGATAGCAATTTATATCCTTTGGTTTTTATGGGCAATTAATATGTGTCAACAATTGTATAATTTAAGTACCTGTCCTGAAAAGTATTAAATATTTATTATAGAAGTTTTATGAGTTGTTATATTCACAAATAGAATACAATATTAAAAATAATATATAAGGAAAATTAATGTTAATGAATGTATGTATGTATGTTGTAGTTTCCAGCGTTTCTAAACCTTTTTACCTCGCGACCCAACATAGTTCTTAACCCAATTGCCAGTTTGACATAAGGTGACAGACCCATCAAAAAAATGTAAGCGAAAATGTAGTTTAAGAAACGCTGGTAGTATCTGCGGTATGAACATTAGTTAATATCTATAAGATGTGTTTCTTAAATTTATAAGCAATTTAAAATAAGAAAATCGGACATATTCAACATAATCGCAATTCGAATTTATTATAATTATAAACAATTTTATTGCAATTCGTACCAATTAAATTATAAATGTAAACTTCAGATTGGAAAATATTTCTGTAATTATCTCAAAAATATGTATTTTTATATTATGTTTCTTCTTATTTTACAGCCATTTTGTGACATGATATGTATTTCCAATATTTGTCCAAACTGTTTAGATATTAGTAAATCCTCTTCGTCCCAGTGGGTTCAACACTCCATTCTAAATTATAATTACAAGTAGAGTTCTATGTAGACATTCTGAGTAAATAAATGCAATAGATTCTTGAAAATCATGTATTTCTTTCATTATCGAATCAAAAGTGCATGGTTTCGTTGACGCTGTCAAAACTGTTGATAGCATTCTCAAATGTTTTCGTTAATTTCACTTTCCATGGGCTTCTGTGATTCTTTATTATAGACCTGAAATCGTCCTCGAAATACTTAACAATATTTCCGACTTTCACAATAACTTGCAGCAGTAATTTTCCAAAATTCTTATCGCCGTTGTATTCCATTGAAGATTTAGTCAACATATTGACGAACTTCTTCACTGCACCCTGATCCAATTGCTCGTTAATTAGTAACTCGCAGAGCGGGAAATGCGCCACCTCCAGTTTCGAGCAATTCTGGATGAATTCTCTGCAACAAGATTAATAAATACACATATTAAATAGATTTAGAGAAAATTTAACGAACCGTAAAAGTGCCTGTTTATGCGAAGCCTTTAGATATTTCAAATTCTCTTGCAGAGCGCGTGGACATTCTTCCTTGAGATTCACCAAATATTTAGATAATTGGACATTGATGATGACTGGATATGACTCTAAGAGCAACAAAAGAACCTCAGTGATCTTATCAGATTGTTCTTCACTCAACTAAGAATAAAATCTTTGATAACAATTCAAACTTATACATTCTAAACTATATTACCTTCACAAATATTATGTTACTATATAATACACATAAATCATTAGCATTCACACATTTGGCTACAGATTTTCCCAATTTATGGATATCCTCAATATGCACACTCCTTGACAGTAATTGGAATAACTCTTCCATTTGGTTATTTGTTAAATTACTTTGGATCTCAGTGAAAGTTTGATCCGGAATCAAATCTAAATGCTTCAATTGTTGCATCAAAATATTTAAGTGATATTCAACATTGCTAGTGTTTGATTCATTGATTATAGGCTTGATGCTCACTGTAGAAACTATTGTTGATTGATTAGACTCTTCTAAGTTAATAACAAAATCCTTTTTGTTTACTTCAATCCTCTTTAATAACTCTTCATTCTACAATTGGGTTATTAATCATTTTTTTAGAATTAATATACTATGAGTGTAATTGCCTGAGGTAAAATATGATTCCATTTTCCGGCAAGTTTTGAATGATGATTGTTCTTTGACACTGCTTCTTTGAACGCTGCAATCGATGATACAGATTCTTCACTGAACACATATCTATGATTACTCATTATCATTTATATTTCAATCAGTTTTGAATATATTTTTAGGTTATATTAAAGTGTAAACAAACAATTCAGATTCAATACACATTTCACAGTAAATTATTAATATTTGAAGTCATTGGTGTATTTTAGTAACAAATTCAATTACAATGTGTTGATAATTGCCTATTATTTAAAAAAAAATGAGAATTGGTAGAAATTATTTGAGGATCACAGGTTGTAGAACTATTGAGTTTATAGCACCAACATAAATTGTATAAACGTGAGTTTACGCTTATAATCAGAATAAGTAAAAGGAAAAGCATTTTTTTTATGTAAAAATAATGATTTATTATACGCGATATACGATTTCATAAATACAAAAGTAGTCTCAAAAATGATAATAATACTAAATAAATACTAAATGGTTAATTGGATTGTATTATCCACAGCATATTGACGCCAGATCGGCCCAGATTCACACGGCCCAACATGCCGTGTTCTTTCTTATTCACGTGATACAAAAAGAGCAAGATGCTGTGAAACAGATTGTTGTAGCCCTGAAAAAAGCATTAAGTATTATTAAACATGAAACACTAATATAATATTCAACTGACTTTAACCATCTCGAAGATCTCCTTGCCAATGATAACTCTGTAATGCGGTGGATTCACAGTCACCTCGTGTATGGCCAAAGTGTTGTCAGTCAATTCCGGCAGTTTCTCGTTGGCTTTTATGAAATGATATCCAGAAAACGGTTTCACGTCTGGTCTACTTGGCAGCGGAATCAGTTGCGTGTCCAAATAGGATGCAGCCAGATGCATAATGATCTGCAAAAAATTGTACGATTAGATTGATCAGTGAATGGATTTAAAGTGTTAATTTACAGCAGCATCGGAGGGTAAAGAGATGTCCCAGTCCTTTCCGTTGTAGGTGCTGCCGCCGTTCCATTTGTATTCGCTCATGCAACCCCCCTTGGCTAGTTCCCGGATCCTCTTCACTAGATATTCCTGATTCGGATGCAGCTCCAAGAAGGGAACGATTGTCGGAAGGTTTGGAGTGTTCTGCAAAATAGGTCCTTGAGCTGTTTTGCGCAACCTATCCAAACCGACGGATCCAATGCTAACATCCGTCAGCCCTTGTCCATGCAGACTCTTGTCGATGCTCCTGAACTCGTTAATTAATCGGCACAGGATGGTTTGAGAAATCCACTGCAAATACATCTATTATTATCATCTTGTTTCAAATGAATTAATCCACTTACAATTCTGAGATTTTCATTCCACTGTGTCAGGGCCACACTATCGACATTCAGCCGCCTCCAAGTGTCCAGCGCATTGGCTGACGTATTGTGCGGAGAACCTTTATCATCGGACTTGGGGCTGCTGGATAATGAGGCTGCAAATTTAATTTAATTTAAATAAAAAATGCGAATAAGGACATCGTCGTTTCGGGCTTATTACATGGTGTGGACAACTGATATTGACACTTGCTCAGCAAAGGCGATATCTCTTTGCTCAACTTGCTGCTGGGATAATTCCAGAAGAAGCTCAAAAGATTCGTCGGTTTCTCGCTCAAACTAATGTTCTGCGTGGATTCCAACGACTCGTATTCCTTCAAGTACTGATTCAAATGATCCTCGTTGTCCAACTCGGCGTTACTCAAGTTTTCCGATACGATCGGTGAACACCTATAGCTGGGAGAAGTGCTTCTGACTGGTGTTCCACCCTGATAGGACCAAGACGGTGAAGACATGCTTTCATTGTAAGAGTTTGATAACCAACTTGCTGCAGACATATCCATGGGTGTTTTGGAAAACATGGTGGTAGAAGAGATATCCATGGAACTTCTGCTGAAGGAATTTGTTACCAAGTTTGGGTACAGCGTTTTTCGCACATCTAAAATAAACACTTTAAATACAAAAACATACTTAATTAATTGAGTATTTACTAACCACTTGCAGTCATTTTAGAGTCATTCAATTTGACTTGCTTTGGTGTAGTTTCAGAAGCAACAATTGCATAACTTCTGCTGTAGCTCCTCATATGATACACTATATTAAATGTGAAGATTACCATCAGCAGCCACTCCACATATTGAATGTATGATGGGTCCACATAGCAAGTGTGTGTCCTACAAAATGTAAATCATATAAATACCAAAACCAGAATATCAACCTTTTTCTCTTTTCATACAAATCATATGCAATTATTGCCAATAGGACAACATTCACTGTGCCCCATATCAAACTCTGTTGGGCCCTCTTCCTATTCTGCTGCTGTATGACCTTGTTCTGCACAGGAATGAAATTGTTTGTGTGAAAGAGTTTTTGTGGGGTTCTGCATTGAAGAAAGTTACTCATCACAAATTAATATTTACAGTACGATATTTGTTTCGGTCTACTTACCTCAGTGGAGACGACATTCTTTAATTTTAAACAAAACTATAAAACGGTTGAATTTCGACTTTTTAAGCCGGTATTACCGCCATAAAGTTGATCTTGCAATGCGGATGGGGTTAGGTATATGCGTGCATGGATCAACCAATGGACCAATGCGAAGACTTTCTTTGGATAGGCAACACACATAACGTTCTGCTGTTTGAATAAATATATTGATTCTTTACATGATACAACTATTCGAGATTGGATTCTTATTTTGAATTTGTTAAACACGATATCTAATATAATTTCAAGGCGTAATAATTTCAAAATGCTGTTGAAATTTCGATTTTTTTTAATTATTTTATGTTTGTTGCACTGCATATATCATTGTCAGAAAACGTCAATGTCTATGGGTCTATATCACTGTTTTAATTAGTTTTGACTGTATATGACACAATTTTGAGACAGTCATGGGTGATACGAAGATGTTTGTGATTTTCCTGTTTCTCGCAATAACTGCAGCCTTCGGTGCAGATATATCTGTGGAAGAGGAAAGTTCCACCGGCCGTTACACGATCGAAGGCAAAGTACTATTCGATCCACTCTTTAATCAGCCCAATTGGCAGGCAAACACTCGCATTCACGTGAACGGCGGGGAGCATCTTGGATTCATCCGTGAAGACGGAACGTTCCTTATACACAACGTACCTCCAGGTTCCTACATCGTCGAAGTCCTCAACCAAGAGTTCACCTATGAACCTGTCCGAGTGGAGATCAACACCAAGGGGAAGTTCAGAGCCAGGAAAGTGAACCACATTCAGACATCTCTGGTCATTCAAGTCCCTTATCCGCTGCGCATGAAGCCCCTCGGCATCACAAAGTACTTTCAGCTCAGAGAGCAATGGATGATCACTGATTTCCTCTTCAATCCCATGATCTTGATGATGGTCTTGCCGTTGCTTCTTATTATGGTTTTGCCAAAGATGATGAATGACCCTGAGACGAAGAAGGAACTCGAGCAGATCCGCGGCATAACCAAATTCGATATGCCCGAGGTTTCTGATATGGTTACAAATTTCTTTGCGGGTTCCAGTCCACAGCAGAATCAAGCTGGCAAGAAAGTCACAAAGACGAAGAAACGACAATAGTGATTCTTTTTTTATTTGTTCCTTCTAGTGTTTTACTGTGTAATAAATAAATTATTTATATTATGTACAAATTATCATTTAAGTTTTCAATTCATTATTCTGTGAATTGACTTCAGAACAATAGTGAATTATCTCAAGATTCATAGTTAATTATTATTTCTGATTACATTTACGAACATTTATATATTTCAATGCAAAACAATAAAAAAAAAGTGAAAATTAATATTGTATTCTACAATTTATTTAAATCTAAGCAGATAAAAACAATAATCTTTTATAGTATTAATATATTCACATTGAAGTTCTCTTTAAATCTTATAAGAATTATATTATTAATTTAGTTTACTTATACATGATACAAATTGGACTTAAGCCACCATTAATTCTACCTAGCTAAGAAGTGTTGCAGGTAAACTGTGCATAACTAGAAGTATACATTGCATGACTATTGATAAGATTATTGTCTTGTGTGAAAATATTTAATATCTTCTGGTAACTCGTTTTAGATATACAAGCTATGTGAAGAAAAAACAAACATAATTTTATTGATTTGTTTTGTAAAACTTCCATTTTAATTGCAACAATAAAATGATACTGCAACCCAACATACACAATATGTTTTGATCAATAAAGAATTGTTAAAAAGCCATTGATTTTAAAAGAAAATGCATTAATTATACTTAAATAAAGCTTCAAACTAGAAATAACATTTATAAACATTAAAATTGTATGTATTTATAAGAAATTTCTAACAAATTTATTTATTTAAAAATATTTACTGTCCAAATTTTAATTATATCTTTATTCTAATTAACTTCTAAATGAATTGTTTTGAAATAAATATTATTTCAATTATAATTAATTATATGTAAAGATTGTGTTAAGTAAGATTAGTTTCTAATTCTTGAAAGATAATAGGATTTGATGAAGCAATAGCATTAATTGATAAAAAATCATTACACGAATAGCGATTTCATCAAGCTTATGTTGAATTTCGTTAAAGATAATCAATTTCTTTGTTATTCGGAGATTCAAAAGGTGTGGTCAAATATTAATTAATATCGAATGCCTCTAAAATTAATTAGTTTGATTAAAGATTATGAAATGGTGCGTTGATTAAACTTCAAAGTTAATTAAAATAAGTGTACTTGTTTGTCTTTTGAATACACTAATTATTTAGTGAATGTTTATTTAAATTAAATGTATGTTTTCTATTTTAGAATTGGAGACTGTAATTTTTGATGTCCATTGAACTGTAATTCCCTGTGGATGGTGGAGACACGTCGGTTACCTGAAAGAGTTTCGAATATAAAATTATCCACATAATATACATAAAAAAAAAGGTTGAGTCAAGTGAAGTTGCTCAGGTGTACAGAACGTTAGAAACTACCTGTTCGATTTGTGAAGAAGACGACGACGCGTGCGCAAATCTGGATTTGAACCTATCCAAACACTCCTTTTTCAGTTGGCATCCGATAGTGCTGCGAGGAAGAGCGCAGAAGAACGTTCGGGCCATCAGTGTTCCAGTTTCTGTTTTCGCGCGGACTTTTATACCTACCATGACGCGATAACAACGAGCGTTATCTAGTTATCAGCTGAAGTGCGATGGAGTGATATCAGTGTTATCCGACCAATAGAAACGTCCCCGCAAGCAACTACAAAGAGAAATAACAAAAGAATAAAAGAAAGAAACACCAACAACAAACCATCTCCTCAGGTATGCAACTTTCTGGGCGTTAACCATCAAAAAGTAGCCACGCGTATTACCTGTAAAGGTAAATTAAGAACCGCTGCGTTGCAGTTATCAAAAAGGAAGTCTTTGAGGAAGTTAAGGGTTTTGTTTCCATTTTTGTTCTTAGTTGGGGGGGGATGTCAAGTCATCAGATAGTATGCATTTAAATTGTTGCAGGTATGAGTCATTTATGCGACCTCCTACCTGTTCAGTTCGACTAACAACTTCCATGACTCGATTGTTTACCATTTCCTAAAACGCAAGTTCACTTCTCTCGCGCTTTTATCTCAGTCTAATGACTAATATTTATTATTTATCTTATTACCTTTTTCATTGAAAACCATTCTATAGAATAATGGTGATTCTCATATTTGTTAAGTAAAATCTAATACTAATACTAAATGTAAAATTCTGAATGCTGCGTGTGTTTATCATAATCTAGTAAAAGTCAGCACTTTCTAAACATATACTGTTGAAATATTGCTTTATTATTCAATTAGTATTCAATATATAGTAGATTTAAACAAATTAGTGAATAGAATTGATGATGTATAACTTATTATGCAAATTATTGTTTTGTTAAGGCTAAAAATAGTATTTAAAAACAAAAATCTTATTTGATAAACAGTTTCATTTATGACGTTAGAATTATCCTCCATGCAGTGTTTCCAAAACTTTAAACACGCGCGCAACCCTTTCGAAGCATTGATTTTACCAGCGACCCCACACAGTAACATACCCGAATCCTATAATCCTTGATGAGATAGTAGTCAAAACGAAATCCTTTGTGAATAGTCCTTTTAAAACAAGTAAATTATAGTTGTAAGTTTTGGGGTCGAATTTTAATGTTGAAATTAAACGTAAACTAATAAGACTTACATTTAATTACGTTATTACTCATCGCAGTAACCAGCAATGAAGAAAATATCGTCAAAGGTTTCTAAGGTCAATAATACACACACATGTGAGCGTGGGCAGTAGAGTTTCGGAGACGTTTTCTTGTACATTCACTTGGTCTTTTCATAAACTTTGAAGGTTTTATGCAGTAATTCTCACATATTGTATACTTTTAAGTTAATTTATTTTAACTTTCGCGAAAACCTTGTCCGAGTGAACTCCGTTGCAAAGCGAATTGGCGAGTTTTCAAATATCGATCCGTGAAATTGGGACAAGCTGAAAGCAATTAAATAATATTATTCAACGGAACTGCAAATGCCAACGCTTAAAAATAAACTTCAATTATGTTTTGGAGGATTTACACTTGTTTACATTTATTATTATGAACAATAACAAATATTCTATTAATTCAATTTATATAAGAAGATATATGATGAAACATTTTTTTATACTTCTCTTCTGACAAGTTTTTTTATTTATCTAATTGATCAATTATTTTACTAAATAGTAATCGTTTTGGATAATTCTCCAAGTCCTATATATACACTTTTTTACGATGTATTACGAACATTATAATTGCAGCAAAAAAACTCTGCGATGTGAAGACTTTTAATAGTGGAATTGAATATTTAATCTAATTTACTGAATTTGTACTTATTTTCAAATTAGTAATGGAAGAATGAATAGACCAGGTTTTTATACCGAACCTTTACACATTTGCAAAATTACCGGACGTCGAAATGTTCGGACTAATTGCTTCATGCAAATGTTCGCTCGAAAGTTTTGCGAACGTTGTACTTCCTAGGGGGGTGCTTATGGCTCGACAACCCTCCTCTCTCACTTTCTACATGTATATTGAGATAACACCCCCAACATTAATGCAGGAGGGCTGCGTTTGCATACAAAAAAAAAGTTGAAAGCTAGCACTGAGGGTTGTGTAGCCCTCTCGTATAATCGAGTTACACTGATAATGGGAATATTAAATTTTGAAATCTGCAAATTTCATTCGCATTCAAAGCGCTTCCAATTTGAATACGTCCTCGAATTGATGATCATAAAAGATAACCCATAATAAAACTAAGAATTTGAAAATGTTTGCATGAAAAGCGATTCTCTTCCTCTATAAATATCAGTTTCGACAGATGTGACATTCTTTTTTGATCTGTTGTTTGAGGGTGTTCCGATCATTATTCCGTTTCTTGTAAGCCGAAACTCAGGAAGAGAGGAAAGGTGTACTCTTCTCTGGCGCACGTGTCTCTGTGGTGTTGTGTGGTTTATGTGTGCATAAAAAGGAAAAATACGCATTTTCGCTTTTATTCTATTTTCGATGGGAAACATCTGTCGACCCACAGCACACTCCCCCCCGAAAATCGCTCGGCTGTGCCCAACGGCGACAATAATAATATCATTAAATGCAATTATCGTTTCATGCCATCTAACTGCAAATGCATGAAACGAGTTAGTGAGAGAACCTTTTCAATTTCCCCATTGTTATTGTGCATTTTTATTATGCATAACTAAACACGAAGCGTTTCGTAAAGATTTGATTGTGTTGAGTGAAAACTGTGTTAATTAAAGGTAATACCATCATATCTTTTATGAAAAGAATATATTGGGTTTAATAAATTGCTGTTTTGATTACTTTTTTCAATCAAATGGAAAGCATTTATTGAAGTAGATGGTAATTGCGCTCCGGGAATAATCATTCGAAAATGTGTTATTGTAGAACTTTTTTTTTTACAATTGAACCTCGCTTAACGAGCACCTCTCATAATTGTAAGAAAAATTACTCGGTTAACGAGTCGCATAACGAGTGACGATGAGAAGAGAAGTCACGGATTGCGCGGATTCTATATCGTTTTTAAAACTTGTGTGCACATATTATGTGTATTTTTCAATATATAAAGCGGACTATACTTTGCAAATATAATTTGTGTTTGCTGTTAATGCAAAACACAAATGTTTTGTGTCCAATCATTATTATAATACATAAACACACTATGTACACAAAAGTATATAGAGACCTCCACCAAGTCCCCGAATTGATACAAGTAATATAAACAAATATAAAATCACTTCACCGTATTGGAAAACAGTTCCCAGTGTTAGTCGTCATTCTAGTTGCATCTTAGTGTTGTTTGTGATCATAAAATTTCAAAACTTTTGTTCAGACATATTATTTGTGTTTGTTTTTGTGCAAACTTTAAGAAACAAATAAAAAGCTAAAGAATAAAAAGGACCATAGATATGAAAAGCAAAATCATTAAAAATGGAGACCATAATACGCATTGTCGTAATTTACATTAGTTTATATGGGAAAACACTATACGAGTAAAAATCCGAAAATTTTGGATCGGATTAATCTCGTTAAGCGAGGTTCCACTGTATAAGTATAAACTAATAAATTTAAAAATAATATTGGAATAACCTCTTTATCGTTTCTAGAAAGTATTTCTCATTTACAAATTGAAATAGTAATAGTAAAAATAAAAAGGAGATTTCTGATGCAGTTGTTGCAATATTGTTAAATTAACACATTATCGGTGTCAAGGTAGAATTACTGGTTTCATGTATAAAATTGAGATTTTACTATGCAATATTTCGCATAGTTCAGCTTCGATCAGTCCGGATTCACTGTAGTCCGGTATGAAAGTTCCTAAAGAAACTAAACTATAATTGAACAAAATTAATTCGAAAAAAAAAAAAATATGGAAAATTATTATTTTTTATACATAAATGTTTTATACATCGATTAGTCTGGTTTCAAATAGTACGGAATATTTCGTATTTATTCTAATTTTTTATTATGGTAAAACTTCGTAAATGCAACAAGTGTTTCGTTATCAAATTAACAATGAAATTCATTCATTCACCTTATAATTCTTAGCATGATTTGCATCAAACAATTATTATATAATATCTTACCTAAATTAAATCATTTCAGTTGAAAATTGTACTTAAATTGACGATTCTTTATCCCCTTGAAATAATCATACATTTTCTTCTATTTTTGATGACATCTATAAATTTAACTGGTTATATAATTATCGTATAAAAACAACATAAATTTACTTCTTCGTCAATCAATTCCAAAAATGTGTTTAGCTTGTATTTGCTGCGACGAAAAGAGAATTGAACTGCAGACAAAAACTATAATTAGTATATTTTAGATGTTGGCTCGAGGAGAGAAGAGATGTCGAAGGCGTGCGTTCTTGGTTATTACATTAACACTAAGTTGTTGTAACCTGCGATGAAACGTGGTTTCTTAATGATCCTGCGACGTATTTTCGTTATCCTGCAAGACAGTTTAATCCCACATTCCTAAAAATAACAAAACTATTTACAATAAATCTTCTGCAGTTTGAATCGAAGGAATTTTCTACTTTTTTTTTCATTGAATTTTTTTTGTATTTCTTTATTACACTAATTTATGTTAATATTTAATTAATTTATAAAGTGATTTATAAATATTTAAAATGCAATCTTTATTACTGTTTGGATTAAGAATTAAACATTTTGGATTGGACGTAGTTATTTAGTAATTAGAGTGAAATTGAGAATTTCCTTTGAATATTCTGTCTGGCAAATAATTCAAGAATAATGCACGTTTCTGGAAGGCAGCAAAAGCCCCTCATTATCAAGTAATAGCTGCGGTCTTCGTCAGTATGTGTACAGTCTACCTCATTTGCCATGAAAATAATCAATACTGTAGACAACTTCAACTCTAGCACTGCTTTATGAAACATAAAGAGTGTCCACTGAAGAAAAAACAAACAAAAAGAAGAACAGAAGATGCTTAATTAACTTTAGTATAAACTGAATAGAAAACAAAATCAATGATCAAGTTATAAAATGTATCTTAATTAAGGATTAGTACGTAAGTCATTAAATAAAGATTGAATGTTTCTTCAAAAGAAACTAAAAATGCTTTCATGTTGTTACTTTCTGTATTAACCCTCGCTGATTGGAGTTCCGGTCTCGAAGATGGACTTAATAGCTTAACTTAACAGATTTTAATGATTTTCCAAGGAATCATAAATTCTTACGATTCGGAAACCGTTAATTAGAAATGATTACAGCAAATACTT